TATATTCATTTTTACCCCAGGAGCTGGTAGGTTAGCTTGTCTTCTCATGAATGTTTCTGAAACGGTTAAACCAAATACCGTTCAGACTTGAGACTCTGTTCATTGTATCGTAATGATTTGTCATACTTGAACACTCCAGTTAGCAGCAATTTAGTGGCAATGCCAAGGTAGTGCAGTAGCAACTGGCTTATGCTGCCATGGCTCTCTCATCTCCCAAGTCCTTTAGTAAGTAACCTTTAGTCAAGGTGTATCTTCTGCTTTCTGCACTGTGTTTCTGCAAGGGAAATATTTAATCTTTTGAAAATCTACACTTAGAATGAAGTATTCTGGTTGAGGTCTTTCATGGGTTTGACCAGTTTAGATGTTTGGGGTTAAACACAGTATACATAAAATGAGAAGGAAATTAATAAAAAATTAGCATTCAAGTCCTTCCCCCAAAAGTAACCCTTGCCTGGCCAGTAATGTAATAACCTTGCCATTTCACTGCTTGGCTAATTGAGTGCCTACTGTTACAGCTGGATTGCAAAGTATCTCTTGAGGTTTTAATAATAGAAGTCTGAAAACCTAAAAATCAGTGGAACTATCCAGAAATTCAAATCCTGGAATAAAACTGTTGCTTATTAGAAATCTATTTCCCCATTGTTTGTCTCATACAGTCTGCTGTTGTCTTGGAAAGCATGAAAAAATAACTTATACCATGACTATTCAAGCAGAAGATAGCAGTGCTACCAACTATGAGGAGAAAAATGGGTGAACAAGGATCAAAGTTATCTAGAAGCATGGGATCTGGTTATAGGATAGGAGTCAAATTCTCATTTGAAAGGTGTGTCTTAATACAAGAATTCAGCATCTGAAGGACAACTGTGTGTGAAGAACATAATTAGCTTGCCATTGTGGAAAGAATTTATGTTCTGGTTTCCTCCAGGTATTGAAGCTGAGTAAAATTTGTTTTAATGAGGTTGTTGCAGATCTTGTAAGTAATATGGGGTAACTGTACAAAGACAGAAGTACCCAACCCTCCTTTATCTTCTCTGCCAGTTTGCTCTTTCAAGTGTTTTTGCTAATGATCTGTGTTACGCATCCAACCCAGTGAGGCTGGTTCCTTTCTTGTCTCCTTTCACACCTGCTTCTCCCTGTCTTATCTGTGTGATCTGTATCTTCTGTGATGACACAGTATTGTTCTAGGCTCTACATGGCAGCTAGCTCTAAGCTTGCATAGTCAGTTCCAAAACCATAGGAAAATAGTGGATAAATAATTCTAAACTGTCGTTGACATGGTTTAACCATGGCTGGCAATTAAGTATCACACAGGTGCTCTCTTTTTCCCCCTCCTGCTCGCGGGCCAGTTGGGAGGAGAATTGCAAAGAAAAGGTAAGCCTTGCAGGTTTAGATAAGAACAATTTAATAATTGGAAAAACCCCACCACCACTCTGATAAATAACTATTTGGAAACTGGGTGTTACTGTTTGTTGTGTTTGTGCATAAGGTAACCAGTCACACAGTGTTTTATCTGCTAAGAACCACTAAAAATGATTTCAGGTATTATTTCAGAAGAATACTTAGAAGGTTTATTATGCAACTGCATCAGTAATAAAAACCAAACAGTGTATATAATCACTGTGCAAAGAGCAGATCTTTCATTATCTCTTAGTGTTGAGAAGAGAAAGGAGAAATTTTTTTTTTCTTTGATGTAGAAGGAGGTTGCTTTGTTTGTTTTTTACTTTTTCTTTTTCTTCCCCTGAAGTTTCGGGGAATGCCGGATTCCCCATCACAAGTTTTATCCCAGTTTTCTCCTACTGTCTTTGACAACTGAGTGTTTATCCAGTTCTCTGACCTTCATATCAAAAGCATTTTTCATGAAATACATTTTTGCATCCTATCCCTAGTAGATAACAAATCCTTACTAGTCATATATGTAATTAGGAACTGTAACTCGGATTTTTCTAAGGTATTGTCTCTTCCTGAAGCAATTATTTAGTCCCTGGTGATAACTACCTTTGCATTCAAAGAGTTACTTGCTACTCCTTCTTTTAAGATTTGTATAAAAATGCTGAAGTTTGTGTCTGTGTGGATCAGAGATCTGGATTAATATCTAATAAAATTAAATAAAAGAACCCTTAGTTGATGAAAAGGTGTGAAGACCTTTTAGAGGTAGTGATTGAGCCAAGTGGTTGGGCTTTTTTCCTCCCTTTTTTTTTTCCAAGAGTTTTTTCTTATAAAATCATAGATTAGTTTGTGTAGTAGGGGACCTTTAAAAGTCAAATAGTCCAATCCCCCTTGCCTTGAGTAGGGACCTAATGAACTAGATCAGGTTGCTCAGAGCCCAGTCCAACCTTACCAGGGAAGGGTCATCTGCCACCTCTCTGAGCAACCTGCTTTAGTGTTTCACCACCCTCATCATAAAATAATTCTTCCTTATATCTAGCCTGGGTCTACGCTCTTCCAGTTTAAAACCATTATCCCTTGTGCTGTCTCTACAGGCCCTATTAAAAAGTCTGTCCCCACCTTTCCTTTAAGTACTGAAAGGCCACAGTGAGGGATCCCTGGAGCCTTCTCCACTCCAGGCTGAACAACCCTGACTCTCTCAGCCTTTCCTCCTAGGAGGAAAATCCTCTGAGCAGTTTTGTCGCTCTCCTCAGGACCTGCTCCAACAGGTCCATGTCTTTCTTGTGCTAAGGGTGGTAAGGTTTCATGAGAGTAGAGTAGAGGGGGAGAATCACCTCCCTTGACATGCTGGTCAGAGTTCTTTTGATGAACCAACCAGGATGTGGTTGGCACGTTGATGGGTCATGTCCAGCCTCTCACCCACCAGCTCTCCCAAGTCCTTCTCTGCAGATCTGCTCTCGATCCATGCATCCCCCAGCCTGTGCTGATAACAGGGGTTGCCCTGACCCAGCTGCATCACCGTGCACATGGCCTTGTTGAACCTCATGAGGTTCATGTGGGCCCACACTCATGATGTCGGGGCTCCATATAGCGATGCTGGGGAAAAATATCCAAGAATCCTGTCAGGGAATGGGAATTAATTGACAGCTTTGTGCAACTAACAATGTGGGGACCGTATTGCAAAGAACTCAGGATTTAGGGGCAGAGGAGCAGTTCCAACAGGAAGAGAGAGAAGTCTCCCAGAAGGAAACAAATCACAATGCAGAGGAAGAGCACTGTTTTAACAGGTGTTACTGAATAGCTGTTCAGAGGGACTCACACCCACATGCACGCAAAAATTTGCTTATTTGTCTCCATGGCTGGACTCTGCTTCTGCATTGCCACATTCTTATAATTTTGTCCCTTCTAGAAAATGAACTCTGCTGTTTCTTAGAGCACTTTAGGATACTGTAGAACTATCTGAGAATGGTATAGGAGTTTAACTTTGACATAAATTTGTAAAGATGTTTTATGGAAGAGTTTTTGAAGAGAACTTGTTACTATCATATCTCTGAAGGATAATCTCTGAAGGATATGAAAAGGATACAGTTCTTTTTTAAAGATTTGAATAAATGCTTTGCAGCATAAATTTGACAAAATTGAAATATACAAGCAAATAAAATACACTTATTACGAAATTTAAGTGTATGTGAAGAAACAAGTCACGTTAGTTTCAGCCTTTCTTTCTGTTCTTTGTCATCTAACTATGAAAAACATTAGTATTCTCAATGGCACGTGAATCCTTGTGCTTTTGGAACATGGACATCATTTGTGACTATTCATTGGTCACAGCTGAACTTGATCAGCAAACGTACTCTGGGGACTCGTTTTTTTTGGCTCTTCGTGGATATCATTGCTGGATTTTTTCCTAATTGAATGCTAGGTTTTTTTCTTCCAGAGTAAAGGAAAGAAAGGAACATTCACCTAGGTGCCTGTTCTCCAAATAAATGTTAAGTGGCATTGCTGGCGTGCTAACATGATGTTCCAAAGGTATTGTGAGAATCTGACTGTTGTGCTCTTGATTTTTTTGAGGCCCTTCTCTTCAGAGAAGGACCTGCAAAATTTTCCACTGTTACATGAGTTGTCTTTTATTGTAAGACACATACATAAAAGGTATTTATTGGGAAATGACTCTGACCAATATTACTGTTTCAAATGCCACTAAAACAGGAATGGTTGTACATTATGTTCAGAAAAAAATTGGTTGACGTATTTATTTATGTACTCTGAAGCTGTAAGAGCTCTTGTAGCATGTCTTGTCTGTGGTGCATATGAGCACTCCTTTCTACAAATAAACCCAGGCTTCTCCTAGGAGAAGGAGAGCAGCAGAGAGCATTAGGCAGATACCCTCCAAATAACGTCATCAACATTATTTTCACAGAACTCATCCACGTCATTTAAAATTAATGTTCATTCAAAATAACGTAGACCAATTAAAAAGATTGTGCTGAAGTAGATAGACTCTTCTTCTCACCAAGAGAGGAAGGAAGAAAAGAGCTTTGCTTTGTGGACTGTAGTGCCTGTCACAGTGTTGATAAAACACCCTGAAGTATTCAGAACACTAGTAGTGCGTAGACCCATTAGGGTGTAGCAGCACTTGGTTCTTCTCTTCCGTCTGATAGTAGGGAATAATTAAGTTTGGAATATGTCACTCTGTGTTTGATCTTCTGGTTGTGGGGAGCTGATGAACAATTTGTGTGATCAGTGTTACTTCTAAAAACTGAGTTTCTTACGTATGTTAATTGAGACAGTGGATTTTTTTGAATGTATGCTCTGGAAGTACTTGCATGGTCCAGTGACTTTTCAAAGTAGAAAAAGTGGTGGAAAATTAGCCTTTTGGAGAATGTACTACAGTTATTTGCAGCAAAGTTTATTGTGAAAGCAAGGATGCTAAACCCTGTTCTTTTCTTTGATTGCTCTTAAATATAAAGCTTTTTAAACCTAACATGTACCCTAAATGCACTTGTGGAGTTTAATCTGTTCTGTTTGCTGCTGGTGGAATTTTTTTAAACTTTTGAAAATTCTTTGACATTCAAGTAAAAGGAAATAACCTTTTCCTTTTTACCACAGATCCAGACGTTTAATGTTGAGGCACCATGCCAGACCGTGGAAGATTTAACGAGTGGGGTTGTGATGGCCCAGGTTCTTCAAAAAATGTAAGGAATTGTTTACTTAATGAACTAAGTTTTATTATTCGTACATTTTTCTGTATCTACATGTGTTTTAGTTCAGTCTTGGCTGGTATTCCATAAGGATGTGGTTTTCCTATGCTTAGATGGTACTTGAAACTGGAACATGACTAATATGATTTTTCTCTGTAGTTTTCAGATAACTAGCTTAAATGAAAAAAAAAAAAGTTTTGTTTTAGGGAGATGTTTATTCGAGGTGAACTTAGTGAAAATAAGTTGGATTAAAACTAAACTTGCAGATTCACACTTAAAGTTGAAACCAGTGCAAGATGAGGTAACTGGTGGCCCTGATTATTGCTTGAAACTGCAGTCAGTGATGTTAGAATTAGTTTCATGCAATAAAACTTCTGTGATAAACTGAATGGAACTGTCAGTTTAGTGATGCACAGTTGGAAGTACTTGTCTTTCTGTTTGTTTCCACTACCTCTTGCCTGTTCACTGGACACCACTGAGATTATATGAGGGTATAAAGAAGGAGCCATCAGGCTATTTATACACAGGATTGGTAAGATCCCACTGAGCCTTCTCTTCTTGAGGCTAAAAAAACAGAACAGCTCACTCAGTCTCACCTCGTATGACAGATCCTGCAGTCTGTTAATTATCTTATTTGCCCTTTGCTGAACTTCTTTGTATGTCCAGGTCCCTCTCATACTGGAGAGCCCAGGATGCAGCACTTCAGATGTAGTCTTACCAGACCTGAGTAGTGCCTCCCTTGGCCTGCTGCCAATGATCTTCCCAACACAGCCCAGGTTGTCGTTGGCCTTCTTTGCTACAAGGACATGTTGCTGGAGCATTTTCAGCTTGGTTTCTACCCAGCTTCTTGTTTGCAAAGCTGCTTTCCAGCCAGTTGGCCCCCAGCATATACTGGTGTATGGTGTTTATTTGCATGTACCTTTGTGAAATGTGTAAGGTTTCCGTTTTTACATTGTATGACAAATTTCCCTCTGTTCCATCATCTGGGTCCCTATTAAAAACATTTAACAGTATCAGCCCCTTGGGTAGGCTGCTAATAGCCTGGGCTCCAGCTCAATTTCATGCTTCTGCTCATAAACCTTTGAGCCTGGCATTTCAGCCATTTTTCAGCCCACCTTGCTATGCACTTACCCAAGTCGTGCTTCATCAGTTTGTCCAGGATGATGTTATCCTGCTCAGGCAATCTGTAGCAGGAGTATATAACAGTGTCACTTATCTTGGTCTGCTTGATCATCCTGACCCATAATTTCTTAGCTGGCTCATATCCATCTGAAGACAGAGCTCATGCATTCCCACTGCTCTCTCACATGAAGGGCATCTCCCTTGTCACTGCCTTCTCAGCTTGTTCTTCCTAAAGAGCCTGTATGCATTCATGGCAGCAGCCTTGTCATGGGAGCCATCCTACCATGTCCTCATGATCCCAGTGAGACTGTGGCCTTGTAACTACATGCAGAGCTCTGTTTCTTCCTGTTTGTTTTCCATGCTGCGTGCATTAGTGCACAAGCACTCCATATAAGCATCCAGCCTTGCTGAGTCTCAAGAATGAAGCTTTCCCTGGAGTGTTTTTCTGTAGGCCTTTCCTCATTTATGTGCATATGCTTGGGGTGATCCCTCTTCACCCAGAAGAGGGTGTTTTGTTGACTGGGAGGTATCTCTTGTTCACATTGTCCCACATTCTTTGTTTTTCAACAGAGTCCACTACTTTGTCACTAAATGTTCCTTTCTCTATTTTTCCTTCTACAAAACTGGTCCAACCAGGTTGGCCAGCCTGTTGGTGAAGATACATTTGCCCACCACAGTCAGGTGGATCCCATCTCTTCAAAGCAGTCCTTGATTCTCAAAATGATTCAGTGGCCATTGAAACTAAAACCTTGCCAACACCAGTTCACAACTGGTTGTTGACCTGCAGGATCTGTCTGTTCCTCAGAACCCTCTCACTGACTGATGCAGCTGGGAAGAACATCAGTTGAGCCTTTACCATAGCTTCGAAAGCCACATAATCACACTGTACTTTCCAGGTTTCCATAGCTGTACAGCTTGTGCCAATTGGAAGAGCAGGAAGAGTAATTGTGTAAGAGCTGGACAAGCTTTGGCAGTCTTTCAACAATTCCAGGAATTCAAACCCCTAGCAAGCAGCAACCGTTCTTAGATGGTGTTAGTCAGAAGATCAGGGTCCTCCATTGTGCTAACTCTTGCCACTCCCCTCTTGTGCTGCAGCATGGCTCGGGTTTGGTGGACACAGATGGTTTGTTTGACAGAGCTCCTGACACCGTAACTGCTGTGAGGACACTGAATCTGTTCTGTAGGTTCAGATCCTCAGGAGCAGGAGCCTTACTGCTAGTGAGAGAAGTTCACAGGAAGAATAAAAGGGGGACCAGAGGAAGTCTCCATGTAGTCAGATATTTCAAAGTAACACTTTTAAGCATGTGGTTCTGAGATAGTGTTTTCAACTGATGAAGTGATGTTTCAAAAACAGATGTAAAATACAAATATTACATTTCTGTAGCATGATTTTAAAATATTTCCTGTACTGCCACTGAACACAGAAATTCTTTACTTTGCCCAGTTTATATAGTAAAGATCACCTAAACAATTTATAATTCTTTCTTTATGCTTTAGGTAATGATTTGAACCTGACAAAATTAGTGTTTGACTATCTTACTTTCTGATAGTTGTGTTTTAGATTTAACATTTTGCTTACTTGTGTAATGGATACGGAGAATCTCATGCAACAATTTAGCAACAAATATTGCTAAATCTTGATTTAATTCTTGTTGAGATAAACTTTGAAGAGCAACAGCAATCTGATCTTGGATTGTACAATAGGAATCACAGAATATGGTGAGTTGGAAGGGACTCGCAGGGATCATCGAGTCCAAGGATGATGGCCTGAAAGGATACCCCAAGAGTCACACCTGAGAGTATCATCCAAATGCTTCTTGAACTCTGTCAGGCTTGGTGCTGTGATCACTGCCCTGGGGAGCCTGTTCAGTGCCCAACCACGCTCTGGGGGAAGAACCTTTTTCTAATATCCAATCTAAACTTCCTCTGACAGAACTTCAGGCCATTCCTTCAACTCCTGTCACTGGTCACCACAGAGAAGAGATCAGTGCCTGCCCCTCCTCTTCCCCTCCTAAGAAAGTTGTAACTGCAATGAGCTCTCCCCTCAGTCTCCTCCAGCTGAACACACCAAGTGCCCTCAGCCGCTCCTGACACGGCTTCTCCTCAAGGCCCTTCACCATCTTCATTGCCCTCCTTTGGACACTCTCTAACAGCTTCATATCCTTCCTGTATTGTGGTGCCCCAAACTGCCACAGTATTCAAGGTGAGGCCGCCCCAGGTCAGAGCAGAGGAGGACAATCCCCTCCCTGGACTGGCTGGTGATGCTTTGCCTGATGCCCCCAGGACAGGGTTGGCCCTCCTGGCTGCCAGGGCACTGCTGACTCAGATTCAACTTGACATCAACCAGGACCCCCAGGACCCTTTCTGTGGCACTGCTTTCCAGCCTCTCATTCCTCAGTCTGTATGTTAATATATGAACAGTCTTTGGGGGAAAGTATTATTGCTGCCTTTTTTTTTTTTTAACCAGAAAAGTAGAAGATAAATAATGTGTAATAAGAAGTGTAACAGAAGATTGGTCTAATTGATTTTTGAAGTAGGGCTGCAGAATAGCCAAACATTGTTTGTTTTCCTGGATGTGAGAGATTGGAATATAGGTCAGATACAGGGATCAGCATTTGTATAGCTGAATAGAAAACTAATCAGAAGCGTGTTGACAAAGCCATTTTAAGTATTCTTTCTTTAAAACAAAAACAAATTCAACCCTACCAATGAAATCCTCTTTATGCTTCTTTGAAAAGGTACCACAGGAAGAATGTGTAGGGAATTAGGGAATGTTCAACAATTTGAAGCAAGTCTAGAGCAGGCTTTTGCAGTCTACCTTTCTTTTTATGTAAGGAGCACTGGCAGGTAGAGAAATGTGTAAGAGAAAGACTTAAGGTTATTTGGAAAAGTCATGCAGTGACATTAAATAGCAAAGAGCAAGCACAGCCTGAAAGCAGCAGATCACTGCAAACCTGTCATTTGCAGTGAAAACTTGAACACTTGTCTTTCACATGAAAATCTGTCAAAAAGGTAATCTTCAAAGGGCAAGTTTATTGTCCTGGCTGCAGACACAAAAGTGAAGTGCTGTTACTTTTATTCCATTGAGGAGGGTAAAGTACTATTTTTGTAATTCATGTTCCTTGGAAATTGGGTGTTTTTCAGTATAGCTGCCTCCTATTTGAGTCTCTTTATCAGTATGTGTTCTTTGAGCCTACTAGTATTAAGAAGTTAATTAGATAAAGGCTGAAATAGCAGATTAATATATCCAGTGAGAATTTAAAAAAAAAAAAAAGAAAAAAGTTCATTAGGAATGAAGAAAATATTGTCAATGAAGAAATCAAATTAAGTGAGGCAGAGCAGTGATGAAAATTTAAAGATATTGGGGTGGTCCTGTGCTCTTAATGTATTTCCATAGGAGAGTGAGGATAATGTTTGTTCCAGAAAACCTAAAATTTTGAAAGTGAACTGTATTATTTCTGTTTTTTTTTAACCTCTACCTTAATAGGAAGAGTTCACTGGTACTTATGAGGAGAGGAGGTAGCAGTTTATCGTAAGGAACAGTTTCTGAGAGACCCCTAGTTTAGGGAATTTGTTGTTTTAGACATAGAGAAAATGTGCACAATAAAGAACTGTAGGATTTATTGTCAGTAAAATTAAAAAGGAGGAACATTGCTTATTCATCAGCTGATGAAAACTAGCTGTGCCTTGTGCCAAGTGTTCAGAAGGGGCCAAAAGCTTCTTCCATTGTTCTGAATTCTTTTGTACATAGTTCTCAATATTTCTCAGATTCAAAGTAGCAGCCCATTTGTAGGTAAGGGCCATTCAATCACAACAAATTTATCAGAATTCTTTGTAACAAAGCTGCTGCAAGAAAGGAAGAAAAGGTTGCAGCAGAAATTACTAACCCCTTCAGAAGCTTTTCACTTCTGATGTAGTATGTGGTAGAAAATGGCAGAAATGTGTTCTATGTAACCAAGCATGAGCATTTTGCTTACAGTCGTTAATAAAGTTATTGGTAAATCTCTGAGGGACATTTTCTTTCTTTATAGCATAAACCTTTATCTTCAAATTTCAGGTTAAAGTACCATTGAATGAAATTCTCCAGTGCTGACTATATTGTCCTGGAGGAGGAAAATCAGCCTAAGCTTAAACTTACTTTTTTTTGTGTTATTCTGTAAGATTCACTGTTTGTTTGTTTTCAGATGTGAAGGTTATTGGTCCTGACTAGCAGTGGTATGAAATACAGTAAGATAAGATGCCTGTACTTAATCAGTGTGGATGATTATTTTACAGAGTGTTGTTGTATTCCAGGAGAAAGATTGGAAGCCAAAGATGTTTAAACTGTCTATGAGTAGACTGTCTGCCTAAAATCATGTAGCTTATGCTGGTAGAAGTGCCATAGCTTGCTTCTGAGTTGCATCCTTATTCTCTTTCTTTCTTTTTTTTTTTTAACCTTCTCAGATGTTCCTTATATTTTTACTGTCCACTGGTATCCCTAGAACAGCATAATTTCCTGTTTTATACTATGTTTTAAAATTTTCCTTTCATCTCACTCTGGAGACTGTTTAGTACCAGGTATCTCTCTTGTTTTGATTCTCCCTTCCTGTGTCATACTGGCCTTGGTAAATGTAAGAGATGGTATGTATTTTCATCTGTGCATCGTGTCCTCTTAATGAATTATTCATTTGATATATTATACATTGCAGCACACTGTGTATGTTTTGACACATGCAGAACACAAAAGCCATGCTAATACATTATTGCTGGGGGAGGGAATTTTTTGTAAACAGACGTTTCTTGAAGCAGTTTACTGTACCACTGTCAAAATGAGTAATAATCATGAGTTATACTACATGCTCTGTGGGTTGGTTTTCTTCAGAAGAGTATTTCTGTCTCTTGGCATCTGTGATATGGAGAGATGACTGCTTAAATAAAGGAAAATTTGCATACAAAATAAGGTGGAGATGGTATAAATGAGCACTGCTGAAAACATCACATGAAGTGATAGAGCATTATCAACAGTGCTCTGAAGAAAAGTCCCAATTATCTACAGTACTATTCAGATACTAGGCAGTAATCAACTGATACACAAATACCTTTCTAAACCTGAAAAGTTATCCAGTGCAAGAGATGGTCTAAGTTTGGATCTAAGCTCAGGAACTTATTGAATTTAAAATACTTGGTTCATGAACGAGTCATCTCCTGGTAATGGTGATGTTCCATCCACTGCCCTTGTTTAGTGCAGTGATTCTTCAAAATGAGATGGCAGGTTTAGCTGTGCAGTTCTCAACACACATTTTTTGTATTTCCTTAGGTGATGCTTTTTCAAACAACATAAGAATGACACTGTTGTTTTCTAATGACACAGACTAAGGCAGTTAAAAAATTCTGAATATGATTGAATCCTGATTCCCAAAAATTTAGCAGAGGAAAACTTGTTTGCAGCAAGGACTGTGAATGACCTAACATCTAGAAGCCCCTTTTAAAAAGTATGTGTAGAAATCCTTGTGGAATAGCTTTTATTTCAGATTTGATTTCCAATAGTTTGATATATAGAGAAAGCATTTCTGTTGGTATTAATCATGAACTTTAAATTGGACTTTAGAAGACAGAAATGAAATTATAAGGGCAGGTGATTTATTTGAAGGAAAGAATGATCTCTGTATTTTCTTGGTGTTGATACCCAACCTGTTGCTTATCTGCTTATTGTATTCCTGGCAAAGTGTTTTTCCAGTATGCGACTAATTATTGTGCAACCTGTATGAAGATTCTCTAAGGGGGCAGGTTTTGGTGCTATTTTGACAACTGTTATATGGGCATGATTTTGAATGGGTTGCCTGTGAGCTGCTGGACCCTTGGATGCTTCCATGAGATTTGTATAAATAAAAGTAAAAAAACCAATAGGATCTGTGGAAGAGGACTGCCACACTGAGCTTAGATTTAATTCTCAGGGACCTTCCTTACATATGTCTGATGACATATATAAAGGTTTAGGTAGCCTATGACTCCCATCAAGACTGTAAAAGGTGGTTGCTGATCCATGTGTTATTTTTACAGTAGTAACTGAGAAAAACTGCCTGTTTTCTTTTCCTGAGGCTTCCTGAGTGGAGTGAGTTAGATCTAACCCTGAAATTAACAGCTGATGCTGTTATTGATGCCCTTATTGTTGCAAATTGGGTATGCAATATCAGCTGTCCAGTCAGTCCGAATATAATTTTGCTTGTGAGAGATATTGGTTATGCTTAGCCATGTTGCTTCTTAGAGTCTTTATTTAGCATGAAAATGGTAAGTCAATTTTCATGGCACTGCAGCCTTGAAGTAGCTGGAGATGTAAGTGATCAAGTGCAACCTTTAAAATTATAAGATACAATCCTTAAGAAAGTCCTGTTGATCTTTTTTGCTGATGAAGCACAAGTCATACCTGCTTTCTCAACCACATGAATGAACATTTTGTGGTTGTGAGTCTGTTTTTAAGCCAGGCTTACTTGTGTGTTGTGAATTCCCAGAAGACCCATTTATTTGAGAGATAGTAGGGTGGTTTTTGAACTCCACACCTAAAATGGGGCTTGAACTTGCATGTTTTTTCATTACTGTGCAGGTGATTTTGTTGTGATTGAGTGGAAGTTAGGTGAATTAATACTTTTTAATTGAGGCTTTTTGCAAGGAGAGCTAGTTGTTTCATGTGAAAGCTGAATGTGAGCCTTCTTCGTATGTTGTAGATCTTACATGTGTTTGTATCAATTTTATTTTTAGCTTTACTTGTCTTTTCATGGCAGAGAGGCCATTGAAAGCTATTTGAGAACATTTATTTCAAAACCAGGTGAAACTCTGGATAAGACATTGCTTTTTCTATTTAATAGTTTGATTATGTCACCCGTGCTAGAACTGTACTGCTTTAGAATGGAAATAATTTGGAGACATCAATTTAACTAGTAATTAAAGCTGTTCTTCCAGATATATGTTTGCTGATGCCATATTAAAGGAAAGGAAATATGTCGTAATCTTCACCAGAAGATCTGTAACAAAATGTGTAAAAATAGCAGTGGGAATGTATCAGTAGAGAAACATTGCTGTCTGTGATCTTTCTCCATTACTGTGTATTGTAAATGTAGTACTGCTTGCAGACCTTGGTGCATTGTGAAGACATTGTGGGAAAGGTGGAATACAGGAGATGCTGGGCATCAGGTACGAAGTGTGGCTGCAAAGTCTGTGCCCTAATAAAGTACTGGTGTAATTGCTGGTTTACAGTATATATGATATAAATGTTATTTCACTCTCCAGGCATGTTCAGAGGTTTCTTGAACTTTTGCCAAGAGATCTCATGGCATCTTACCCCTAAAAAAAGAGCTCAGTCCAGAACCCTTCTATCTGTAGAGGGTACAGCAGTAAACCTAATAGTAATCAGTGGAAAATGCAGAAGTATGAGTCCAGAAAAATAGAATATTTCATGTCGAAGTGTCACCTGGCCTACCACACTGACTCTTAAGAGCCTTTTGCTAATAAAAAAAATAGAACGGTGAGCTTTTTTTTTTCACTCTGAACTGTATTATCTTTATATGTTGGATGAAATATGAACCATTCCTTATATTATATTGACCTACTCCTTTAACTCTTCTCACTACAGCATATGTAGTGTTCAGTCTCAAGCTTTTCATTTAAAAGTTGAGTAGTTGTAAGCAGTGTACAGCAGTAGGGATCCGTAATATGTGGAAAAGTATTTATTTTTAACACTTTCCAGGAGTACAACTAAATATTACTCCAGCACCAGAGGAGAAATTAGAGGTAGGATTTATGGAGGAAAAAGCGGCATAATACGTTCCAAGTACAGCAGCTTTGTCAAAAGCATTGATTGCCCATGGCACACAAATGAAGCTATGCCATCACCAGGGTGCAAGGTCTTAGAAAAATGAGTAGTAACAGGATTCTGAACAGCTATATTCAGGCAATGTGTCAGACAGAAGAGGTAGTCATTTAAATGACCTCAAGCCTGGGATTGGGGCTTAATGACTAAGGTGTACTCACAGTTTCTCTAACCTGTTTTTAATGAATACTCTACACTCTTTGTGTTTCAGAGACCCTGCTTACTTCGATGAAAATTGGCTGAACAGAATCAAAACAGAAGTAGGAGATAATTGGAGGCTGAAGGTATTTGAATTACTTTGCTTGTCTGCGAATCTCTATTTCAGTCTTTAATACAGTATTGTGCCTAAACACTAGCATATTTCCAGATTAAGACCTTGCTTTATAGTACATAATTTTGAATTTTCAACTGTTTTAGTTACATTTATTCGATTTTAAATTTCTTATGTTGTTTTAGGACTGCACAGTTTAGCAAAGAAAAGATATTTTGAACTTGTAAATAGGTTTTGGTGATTTAAAAGGAAAATATTAAAACAAATTTTATGCATCAATTACCTCTCTTGTTTTTCAGATGTTGAATGAAAGATTTTTCTTTTTAATGCACAGTATGAAAGTAGCTTTAAAAAAGGAGCTCTGAGAAGCAGCTGCATAAAAAGAGGAGCTTAATAAGCAATATATTTAAAGAAAAATGGCAAAGTGTTTCTTCCTTTTACTTTTTCATTTCTGCAGAACTGCTGAGCTTTAGGAGAGGAAGTTGCGTTTTTTCTGTGTTTCTACTCAGCATGGTTTTCCACCACAGTCTTTTTTCTGGGTCATTTGTATCACTTGGCATTCTAGTACTTTCTCTGCAAACCTTAAGGCAATCAGGTTTCCAGTTCTATGACTGAGGAACATTTTGCTTTAGAACCCAAAGACACAGTTGTACATGTAGTGTAGTTTCTGAGTAGTTTTGTTCAGAGAGTGATCTATGCACCTTTCTGAATTTCCATTTTTAGCCTGACTAATTGGGAAAACAGAGCAGTTATGGTTTGACTGTTAGTTCATGTTTCCTGTGTTCCAGCCACCAAAAACCATTCTGAGCATCTCAGGAATGGCTACAGCTGTGAAATGCTTTAGTACTTGCAGGCATTGTCAGCATCACTGGCTGAATTGCCTGAGACAAAGATGGAGCACACTGCTGCTGTGTATGTTTTGATTTAGTCAGTAGACCTATCGGCATGGTCTGTGCTGTCTGGCCAGCTGTGTGCAAGTCTGGAATGCTTTAGAATGTTTTGTCTAGTAGGGCTGCCAGCAAAAATGTGGGTAAATTGATGAGGATATATTGACTGATGAATAAAGGGCATCATCCCTAAAAAAGCTTTAAAACTCTTTTGAGTTCTGCTGCATGTAGAGCAGTTCATTTAAATGACCTTTCCAAAGAAGTGTATGGAATTGCAAGTGAACAGCTGGATACAAGATTTTACTTTTCTGTAAAATATTTCTTTGGGTTTTTTTTCTAAGTATTAATTTTTTAAGTCTTTGCTGTTAAATGTGGAGAACAACAAATTGAGAACTGTTTGTTATAATAGCATTTCAGCTGATTGAAAGCAGAGCAGCAGCTTCTGTAGCTGTCATATGGAGCTTGAGGAATAAATATTTTTTTATGTCTCCCACCAATTTGGCAGATGCAAGGCTTAGCAGGTGTGAAAAAAAAAAAAAAGCTGAGCAATCTAGTAACTTCCTTATGTGACTGACAGTGGAAAAACATCGGGTCAAATTTCAGTTTCTTTCTGATGTCATTCCATCTTGTTTTTCATGTATCTGTGTAAACAAGAACTAAAGACTTATTATTTTTTTGTTTAAAAAAGATGTATAATCCAGCTTTTTGTACAGCACTTCCCTTTTCATGAAGAATACTAGAAGACATAAGTGTGATACTTTAACTCTTATTTTTTTAACCAGAAGAGTAATCCTATACTTTGCCAAGTGTTCTTCTTTATATGTGAGTAAACATTATTAGTAGATGTCTATCAACCAATCAGTCATTTATAGTCTGGCTTGTGGGAACACTTCAGTCTGTGCATTTCTATTCATAGAATCATTTAGGCTGGAAAAGACTTTTAAGATCATCAAGTCCAACTGTTAACTCAGCACTGCCAAGTCCACCACTAAACCATGTCCCCAAGTGGCACATCTACACATCTAAATACCTCTGGGATGGTGGCTCCACCACTTCCTTGGGCAGCCTGCTCCAGTGCTACATAACCTTTTTGGTGAAGGATTTTTTCCTAACAGCCCATCTAAACTTCCCCTGGTACAACTTGAGGCCATTTCCTCTTGTCCTGTCACTTGCTAACTGGGAGAAGACTGACCTCCCCAATCACTGCAGCCTTCTTTTAGGCGTATGTTTGTTACTAGATGTAACATGTAGACAGCATACTTGAATGACTCCATATTGCAGATTTCCTTTCATGTTTTAAGAAGTGCCATGAGAATTGATAACTGGATTACCTCACTGCCTCACAAGTCGTGATAATGACTGCATTACATTCCTTTTGCTGAACACAGTCACTCTTTGCCTCTGACACCATATGGTATAATAGTCACCACATGTACAAGCTCTCAGTGAAGGAGCCAGTCTGGGAGGGGAACATATATAAAAACAATCCAAAATGTAACGTGCAGGTAGTTCTGCTTTGTGAAACTGTGGTTAGGAGGGCCTGCAGAGGTAAGTGTAGGCCTGACACAGCCCTCCTAATCACTGTTGATAGAAGTACTCAGAAAATGATAGAATCATAGACTTATTAAGCCTTGGAAAAGACATTTAAGATCAAATGTAACTGTCAACCTAGTGCCACTACCATGTTCACCATTACAATGTGTCCCCAAATGCCATATCTGCATATTTTTTGAACACTTCCAGGGATGGTGACTCCACCACTTGGCTGAGCTGTCTGTTCCAATGTTCTACAACACTTTCCATGAAAGTTTTTTCCTGGTATTTAATCCAAAATTCCCCTGGTGCAACATTAGGCTATTTCCTTTTCTCCTGTCCTGTCCTGTCACTTGTTACCTGGGAGAAGGTAATGAGTGATGTGATTATTAATTTTAAATTGTGTGTTGTCCTGTATGGAGAATAACAAGAATATATGGCTCAGCTTTCATTATTTTTTTTGTTTAGCAGTTCATTTTCTGATAACTGCAATAATGCGGTCATTAAAAATATTTTTCCTGTTGCTGTACCAGTTTAAAAGAAATGGATAAATTCACAAGGATCTTTTTACGTTCTTGGTTTCAGGGCAAGTTGCCAGACTTGAGAGATTGAGAAATGCACAGGATAGAAAAAGGGAAATGTTAGAACTCAGGGGACTTGCAAAGTAGGAACCATTCAGCAAACATTCTAGTTTTTACAGCTGACCAGTGTTTAGTAGAGAAACTTGTTACTTCTTCAGGGTTGCATACATCAGCATGCAGAACAGCTTGTGTCTTCCTTTGGGCAACAAAGAAACTTACTTGTCATCTGCAATTTTATGATGGTTAAAAAAATAAAAGGCAAACCCATTATCTCTTTCATTATGTACAACTGAATGCTTGAATATAGTCAGAGTTTAAATTGTGTACAACCTAGCATTTCATGCTGAAGAAGATGACATCTTGAACATAAAACCTTTATTGAAAATGGAAGACAGCATAGAAAGGAATTCTGTTGCTAAAATTTTCCAGGAATAAAATTCCTTAATCAAGGTACAAGTTATTGATTTGGTACACACATGTCAGTTTTGGCAATTACAGAATAAACTGTTGACTCTCTGAGGTATGGGATAAAATTGTCACCCCTTTTTTCCTCCCTTTCTATTCAGTGTGGGAAACTTGGAAAAGAAAGGAAATATATTATTTCCTTGATTTTTGACTTCTGGACTTTTTGCTTTGGCATTCAGACTACAGCATCAGTTTAAAGTACAGTTTTATTGATGTATATAGTAGCAAGCTGTGTTTGTTCCAGTACTGAATAGCACGTTCAAACAGCAGGAGCCACTAGACTTTCTGCAACTAGTACAGTTTGAGTGATACCTGTTTGGTATAATATTGCAAAATGGAATAACCAATGAATGCTGCAAGTAAACAAACATGATTTTTGAGAATTAATTTTGACTCCCTGCAGTAGTACAGTTGTTTTTGCTCTGAATTCTTCTACAGTACAAGCTGGCTTGACTGGTGGAGCAGTGGAAGCTAGTTTTCAGTGTACAGCATTGTTTTGCTACTACTTTCTTGTTCTTTTGCAGGGTAAGGAGAACTTATTCATCAGCATCCTTTTAAAGGGTTTTTATCTGTTATGGGTGGAAGCCTGTCATGTGAATGTTTTTTTTTCTTCAAGCAAGAAGCAGAGATTATAGGTGTATTGTAAGCCAGCATTCATTTGTGTCACAAAGATAATTAGCAACTGATATATTTAATTCTCTTTTGATATACCCTTAATTCCTAAGTCAACAGCATCTCCAAATATAAGTTGCATGTGGGACTGCTGTCTGTGTTCAGACCCGCATTTAATTTTTCTTTCCTTGTCAAGGATGTGGCTGTATATGTTCTTCTGGGGATTTTCTTTCTGTAGAAGACAGTCTGAAGGGGGATAGCCCCCAAAGCTAGTGATATAGTCTTTCTCTAGGTTCCATCTGTAATCAGCAATGAGACATGCTTCTGCAAAATGCAGTATAAGTCAGAAACCTAATGTGTGTGGTGGGAACGATGCAAACGCTGCATGCACAGGCTCCCTCCCCACCCACACTCCCACACCCACCTATCCCTTCTCACCCCTCACCCCCCTTTTAAGTGCAGATGGGAAGAATGCACCTTAATGAGATATCTGAATTCTTGAAACGCTTGAGAGTGTGCCATAGCAACACTTCCAGAGGTTACTCAGGATCTGAAATAAACAAAAATAAGTCAATTCACACAGGGTTTTCAGCACAAACAGGATTTCAGTCATACTAAGAAATAATGCAAAATTGGGGGCTGGCTGTTATGATGTTGGAGAAAAAACAAAAGGTTAGATAACCCATGCCCCCTTTCTGTCAACCATCACAAGCTTAAGGGCATTTTCTTCTGTTCACTTCATCAGGCTTTCCCTTCGTTACACAACTAAATTCATAAAGAGAGAAATCTAGACAGACCTGAGGTTGGAAACAGAGAGTAAATTGTAACTAAATAAATAGAGATTTCATATGACAGGTGAGAATAAAAGAAAAATAGGAGAGAAAAAGACCAAACATTGGGTTGTATGGTGTTGCCAGATTGCATCATCCCTGCATTCATTCCAGTCAGTTTATCAGGTTAATGCTGTGTTCTAAGGGTCAATCTCTTACTGAAAGCTGTGTGCTGAGTATGTAGTACTATACTATAGCCAGATGGCTACTACCTGAGAGGGTAGTGATAATTGAACATGGAGAACACTCACACAGCTCTGCTGTGGATATTAGTGAAATTTAAGTGTCCAAAGAAGGATTGAGAACATGCAGGTTGCCTTTGTGGATGCAATAGCTCCCCCCCTTTGTAAAAGGAGATTGGGGAAATAAAACAGAAAGGGCAGATGGAAAAAGAGATTGAAAATGGAGATTTGTCTAGAAACACCTAATGGTCCATCTGTTGTGAGCTGCAACAGCTTTTGAGCATAGTTGTGACTTTTTTTTACCCTAGGAAGTTTCATGTGTTTTCCAACAGAGGTATGGATGCAGGGAATGGATGTTAAAAGGGATTGGGAGGGTAGTGTATGTGCTTTGTATGGAAAAGGAGGAAGTCACATTGCTGATGCAAGCAAACAGCCATCCCATGTAGTCATGGGCTGATGTCCAAAGGATGATATGGCACTTAATAGTCATGGTTGATATTTGAAATTCTATCTGTTGTGTTCTGTCATTGCATAATTTAATGGTCTTCATTAACTAGAGTTAGGTTTTCCCCATGTGCTTAAGAAAGAGAAAAATAATTCTGAGCAACCATCACCTGATGTGATTAGATTTCCAATCTAATTGGTTGTCTTTTATACTTTCTCAGGCTGTTCATTTTCATTCAGCTGCTTACACTCTGCCTTCCTTGTGCTATGACCTCAGAAATGTTAGTGGAGCTGCTGAGTTGAATCTCAAAGTACAAAACATTGGTGATAGTTTCTCTGTGATGATTCTCTGCTGGTGGCAGTAGAACCATCTAAGTATATTCACTGCAAATGAGTTTAAAAAAAAAAAAGTTGAGAGCCCTCTGAGTAATACTGAAAATCATTGTTAAGTTTAAACCAGTCTATAAAGAAACTGCTTTACCCTCACAGTTGACTGATTACGTGCCAGATATAAAGATGGTACAGTTAATTCTTGAAAACAAGTTGCTAATACTGTTGGTTGACAGTGGAATAAAATAGGATTGCAAAGTCAAGATTTCTTTTTGATTTTGTTTGTTGTTCTCTTTTTCCAAGGATTCTGCCCTATGTGCTGGTTTTTGTGACAGATTTTGATCAATATTGGTTTTGTTCCAGTATCTCAACTCTAAGCTTTATGAAGGTTATATAGATGAAGATGACTCTTTGTGTTTAAGGGCTTTTACTTAAAAAATGCTCACAAGGAAAGGGGAAATGAAGTATTTCATAGGTGGATACTTTCCTTTTTGTTTCTCATTTTTTTGGGATTATGTTCAAGTTCAAGGTTCCTCACAATGTTCTCATCGGTAAACTGGACTTAAATTCTGCAACATGGCCTTTGCGTTTCTGTGGCTCTTTCTGCAGCAGACTCAGGTAAATTACAAACTGGAAGATTTTAATGAATCAAGTTTGAAAATTATGTTCCAATCAGCGCAGTATTCTTTGTGGTGATTTGACATAAAAATAAAATTTCTTAATTTCTTTAGATTCTTAAATCTGTTGCAGACTTTGGTTATGATTGTGCATCGCATTTGAGTGGTGGTGGTGCTTGCTTTTGGGCAGATAGCTAAGAGATAGTTGTAGCTCCTACAGAAACATGCTGGGTAGTGCAGAAAAAGTGTATGTTCCAGAGTAGAAGGTGTAAACTAATTATTATGTTGTTATGGGAGGGACAGTAAATGTTGTTATATACTTACTATGAAGTAGCATCTCCAGTTCTCATTCTAGGTTGTCAGAGTATTTGATGTGTCGCTTTTCAAGTCCAAATGAGCTTTTGTTTCTTGCGTCACTTAAAATTCAGTGATTTTGAAGACAAAAATGTTCTTACATCTTAATAAGGGATCAGTTTCTGGTGCTTCTTTCCAAAGAGGAGTGGATTAATAGGAGTAAGGTAATCAGATGTTATCACTGTGGATCTCATGGCAAAAATCTTTTAGTGTGTGTATGTAGTCTGTTCCTTTCTCGAGTTTGGATTTTGCTTTCATCACCTCGTTTTGTCTGTTGACTGTGTTGAAGTGTTGAGTTTGTCCCTGGATTTCAGTATCATGTCTCCTAACACTGCTTCATCATATCGTTTGAAAGGTAAATGACTTCTGTCAGTGGACAGAATCTCCTAATTGAGTATTTCTGGAATGCAGTCAAGAGTCTAAAAGTTATTGTGGGCTTCAAAGACAGTTGGAACTTGAGAGGTTTTGCTCTCCCTTCATTATAGTTTCAGCTTGCTGCTGTGGCTACTGCAGTCAGCAACAGACCTTTGTGAGTCCTATTTCAATCACTTTCATTCTCTGCAGATCCTGTTTAGATTTCATGGAGTCATAGGATCATTTAGGCCAGAAAAGATCCTTAAGATCGTAGAATCAAACCATAAACCCAACCCTGCCAAGGCCACCCATAAGCCATGTCCCAACGCACCATATCTGTGCATCTCATTCACACCTCTTTGCACACCCCAGGGATGGTGACTCAGTCGCTTCCCTGGGCAGCCTATTCCGATGCTTGATAACTCTTTTTGGTGAAAATATGCTTCCTAATACCCAACCTATACCTGCCCTGGCACAACTTGACAAACTCCCTAGATACAACACCCTTTCAAGTAGCTGCAGAAGGTGATAAAGTCACCCCTAAGCTTCCTTTTCTCCAAGCTAAACAACCCCAGCTCCCTCAACTGCTCCTCCATCCCAGGAAACAGTGCACTGCTACTATTATCTGAATTCTTTGCCTAAATACTTGGCCATAAATTGGTGGTAATCTGTTGAAGTTACTTTCAGTAAAGTAACTTTCAGCTTTTTTTTGGTCTAAATTTCACCTACGAGACCCACTGGGCATTTTTATAATTTTAAACACACCCTTTATTCTCAGAGGTGTGATGCAAATGGGCTTTTGGAAAGGGAGCAGTATTCAGTACTAGGGAAATGTGGCATAGATTCTGTACAGCAGGAGACACTTAACTGGTGCCTTTGGTTATGCAAGTGAACAGAAGCTACCTTTGTACAGCAGTGAAGTCATCACTGAGAAATGTGAATTTTGCCTTGGTACTGTAAGACAGACATTCAATTGTAAGAACTGAGAGGGGGGTGGGGAGGGAATGAGAAGAATAAAAATGAAAGAACTAAGAGGAATAATTATTGAGAAAGATAACAATTTAAATTTACATTGGTTGGGAATAAAGGAGAATGTTGAGCAATAGCTGGTTTTGGTTTGGAAGAAGAGGTTTACCTCTGCAGAGAGTGGATTACTAGGATACTTCAAGAGAAGAAAGGAGGAAAAGAATGCTTCAACTTCTGGATACAAAGATAATCCTAAGATAAACAAGTACTCAAAAAAAATTCGTGCTTTAAAATTTGATCTAAAGCCTCTCCAAGACAATGTGATCGTTTTCATAAATAGAAATGGGTTCTTTCAATTAATAAAGATTTGTGATCCTGTCTGGAAGTCTGATCATAAGAGACTATTGCATAAATTTCATGATTATGTAATTATATGCTTCTTTTGTGTGATTCCTCTGTGATTACTTACTTTAAGATCATTTCTCTGTAATTTATCTCCTGTATTTATTGTACTTCCTCCTTCTTGTCAAATAGGTAAGCAACCTGAAGAAAATTTTGAAAGGAATATTGGATTACAATCATGAGGTAAGAATGGTTTTAAATAATCTACATCTACATACCTTTATAGTTACATATTTTAGTTAACTGGTTGAATATAAATTGTATTCTACAAGTGAAGTACTGATGTTTTCTTGGCATAGATAGTGATTCGTGGCCTGTTCTCTAGTCTTAGCCTTCTCTAAAACTTCTCACCTGTTTTATTGACTACTCAGAGGTCCCAGGGAAGCCTGATGTGCAAATTCTGTCATACAAACATTAGATGGCCTTACCGAGTATGTTCTGGTCATGGACTTCAACAGTACCTGTGTTTGATTTTTTTTTTTCCCCTCCTCCTCTGCAGTTAAAGTCTGGCTTTTCCCTTATTTTTCTCGTAAGGAGAGAGAGTAAAGCGTTTCTTACCTCTCCCCACATTAAGATTTTATATGAAATATTTTAATTCTGGAATATTGGAGTCACCCCGTGGCATTTTCTCTTATTCTGAGCAAACTCAGAAATTAACCATTACAGAGGAGTCAGAATACAGTATTTTTTCCAGTGGTGAATCTTCAGCTGAAATATGCTTTCAGTTTCAGTGATGTTTTGAGGCAAATTGATCTGTACAGGCTGCAGCACAAAATCTATGCTTGTCTCAAAATATTAGCTTCTCATAAATACTTCAGAGATTAAGTTATTTGTTAATAAACTGAAGTCTTTCAAAAAAAAAGTTAGACTTATGAACCATTCAGCAAATGGTTAGATGTCCATGTTGAAATAAATGTTGAAAATTGGTGGTTAGGCAAGCTGGTCATAACTGGAAATACTAAAAAGAAACATTGGGTTTTTGTTATGGAAAATTAATATTACTAAGACAAAGTGATGCAAACTTCTTTTTGACTGGTTAGTATGTATGATGATTAAGTCTCTGGTGTGAAAACTTTACTACTAGGCAAGTTCTGAGCTGTTTCAAGCTGACTAACTTCTGCAAAGGTAATGCACATTTATAAGTCTGACTGGATTTTGGTTTAGTTTCTTTTTTTTTTTTCTGCTGAGGGAGGCGATGCTGGTGGTGATAGTTGAGATGACAGGATTCTACCATGAATCCTGCTTATGTTTTCCTCAATCTGATTCCTTCTCCTAGAGCCACCTTGTACTAAAATATAGGTGTGATTGCATGTGGATTTTACCTGATGTAGCTAAAAGACTTTGAAAAATGTATATGCTAACATTTTCCCTTCTCCAGAATTCAGAAATTTGTGTTGTGTTCAGGAGGACAGTCTTTCAATAGCTATGTTACATTGCTGTCTTTATCAATTATACTATGGAAGAACAAGAAGCCAAAGTTAACTATTTATGGCTCGCATGCTTTGTTATACCCCACTAATCTTGCTGCAGAATTCTACTCCTCTGGAACTGAAATTTTTAAAATTTTTTTGTAAAGATATTTACTTAGTTTTCAAAGGTATTTTGTAACGTTTTGAAAAAGGGTTAAATGCTCTTTTTCGTCTCAAAATAGTTACTGCAAAAGTCTATCCTCCATTTTCGTATTTCTTTCAGGTTTGTTTTTTTTTTTTTTTCCGAACAGGAATGAGTTTGGATCCTTTAAAGTATACAGATATTTTTAGCAGTGTTGAAACTAATTCTTTGAGAAAACTGTTTAAAAAATTCCACAACACAAAAAGCACCAAACACAACAAGAAAAACTCAACCACAACACTCCCACAAAACCCAACTCTAGAAAACTTCTGAGTGCCTTGTTTTCTTTGTGGTCTTCATATACATTACATACTTTTTCTAAATACCTTTACCTAGTCTCTTGTTTTCTCAAGTATTGCACATAAAGGGCAAGCAGCAAACGACTGATTCCCTCTATAGTCATTGTTTCCTTATTACACCCTGTTTAAGAAGTTAGTTTCTTTTTATCTGCAATTAATGTGTCATAGATGTGTTTTAATTCCAAATTTCATATTCATATTTTCAAGCCTCTCTTCAATAAAGAGCAATTTAGCAGAATTGTTTAATTCCATCTACTGACAATCATTAATGTAGTCTTAATGATAAATCAGATAACACTATTGTGAGTCACATGGGCTTTTGTTTTGTTGGTTTTTTTCTTTCTTCTGCATGTGGGCTGTTTAATTACATATCATTGTACTACTAACTGAGATTATCTTCCATGGAACATCTCTCTTAGCTGTGAGACTTGCAAGTTATCCTTACATTTGCTAGAAGTGCAAGGCTTAGTGATCTGAGTTTTTTGCTTATATTTTTCACCTGTCAGTGTTAGACATATGTATTGTATAGGTGAAATATTTAATTTCTTGGCTTTATAGTAGTAAGAAATGTCAGATTTGTGTATAATACTTTATGCTACATGAGGTGTTTTTAGGTGTTGGGTTTTTTTTAATGGAGTGCTTTAAAAAAAAATCAATTATCCGTGTGGTGGCCTGCTTTTGTTACCTTCTTATCTGAAGAAAAAAAATCTTGCCAAGTGTGTAACTCATAGTTGCTTATGAGTCGATGCTCATAAGTGTCGTGTTGGTCATGTTTGTCTTCTCCTAAATATTATTTGTGTCAAACAGTATGATTTAATATTTGGATGTTAGGCAATATACTTTGTTTTAAAGGTGGATTTAAAGTAAGAGTGAACTGCTCTTGTTGATTATGAATCATCATTGTACAAGATGTGTGTGTATGTATATGTGCAGTGATACAGCCATGTAATTACTGGGTCTTTACACAGATTCTGGGGCAACAGATAAATGACTTCACCCTTCCTGATGTTAACCTAATTGGAGAGCATGCTGATGCTGCAGAGCTTGGGAGAATGCTTCAGCTTATCTTAGGATGCGCTGTGAATTGTGAACAGAAGCAAGGTAATAAATTTTCAAAGCATGTTTTCTTGCTTGTTATGTAAATACTGAGAGGAAAAACTCTATTTCCCGTGTTTCTGTCAGAGACAAATGTAGGGTTTTTTTCCGCGGTGACATGATTTTGTCCTACGGGTAGTAACTGTCGTTTTGTTATAAGCTTCCTTAGTTTTGGAGACTCACACTGTGGAATTGATTTTGCTTCCAACATACATATTTTCAATTTGGGTTTGCTGAGCTGAAAAATCACTCTACAGAGGAAAATTCTCAGGCCTACCTTTTAACCATTTATGAGGTAGATCGCGATAGTTAAGAATGGACATATGTGATTGTTGCATTATTCTGTGTGACTCCTGATTTTAGGAATGCATTCCAGTCATTACCTTAGCTACACGGGTGAAAGCTTTGCCTGAAGGTGTGTCTGGTGTGATCTAGGATGCTGTAGTTTCTGAGAGCAACTGCAAACATTCATTCTAAACACTTAAAACACAAAACATAGTCATATGAATAGAAAATACATGTTTGGGAAAATAAGACTATTTCTACTGTGTTTACGTTACAGTTGCACCAAATATATGTCTTTTCTGATTTAACTCAATCTGGTTTTGGTGGCAGCCAGGGTTTAAGACCTTTTGTCTTCCTCTTGCTTGATTCATTTTAACTTTTACTGCTAGTTTCCCCTTTCAATTTTCTCAGGTGACTAACTCACTGTAGTTTCTCCTTCTGAAATTACTTTTGTTCTCTTAAACAGGAGATGGTCTGGCTATCTTATTAATTAAAGTAGAGGAAATGTTATTCCATGAGTATATAAATAACTGGTTTATTAACCCTCCCGTCCTCTCTGTTTTCTGTAAAATTGTCTTCCTTCCTTTGGGTGACTATTTGTCACCCTCAGGTGGGAAGTATATCTTATTCTTGTCTGTCCTTTACTCTCTCAGTTTGGACATTAAATGTACATGTTTGAAATATCAGAACAGTCTAGTTTTATGTACTTGGAGTGAGATTTGGCATGAGCTAATTAACTAGTTAGAGGTGACTTTTCCCCAATATCTTTCCCTTAGGCACATCATTAAAAGAATACAGGTCATGTGTAAAGGAGATCGTATCTATCTGGAAACTGCATTATACTGGGCAAGTCATTAACTCCTTGACTTAGTCTAAATGTCAGAATTTGCCCCTCTGACCACTGTATTGTTTCTCAAAGTATCTCATCTGTAACTCACACCTATACATACATAGGTGAGGAGTGAAAAAGTGGAGGGGGACTTAATTTGTGGGATAACACAGGAATAAGAACAGAAAGCAAGAGTGGATGTGAAAATGCTTTGAAATGAGAATGCTGTAGGAAGGCAGGGCATTATTGTTAAACTTATGGAAAAGTACAACCTATGCAAGGATTGTGTACCTGAAGAGCCTGAATAGTTTGGGAACAAATGGAGAAAAGGAGTGAAAGTAGTTATAACAGAACTGTGAGGTGCCAGAAGGAAAAGATAATTATGTACTTTTTTGGTTGTTGTAGAGTTCAAATAAGCTGGATTTATGTCTGATCAGACTTCTGATAAAATCCTGTTGAGTTTGTTGTGGTGGGACTTGACTGGTGATTATGCATTTCAGTGTCATCCATGGCACCTACTCATTTTGTAGGAAGGATGCAGCTTCTGATCTTCGGTTCTCTGACTTGAATTTTAACCATGATGTTTCAGAATGCCCTTTTTTTTTTTTTTTTCAGAATACATCCAGACCATAATGATGATGGAAGAATCAGTTCAACATGTTGTCATGACAGCCATTCAGGAGGTATGCTGGGATGCCCACAGTGTATGAAAGTTCTGCCTTTCAGTATTTTACAACAATGTGCTTTTTCCTACTTTGGAAAAACTTAGTTGGAAGTAAAGAAAATAAGGGGTGTAGATTTTGCCTTTTTACAGGGAAAAATATCTTATTTTTTCCTTAGAAAAATCTTGCTTTATGTCAAGGAACTCTGGTTGAATGTCCCACTTTTCTTTAAATCTAGAAGACTGGAACTTCTAGATATTTTTGATATTGGGTTCCCTTTCCTTTACCTTTCCCACCCTGTGAATCCTAAAATACACTAGACTGATTTTATATGGGCAACCAAATACTGTAGAATTTCATCAAAATTTGTACCTTGAAATTGCAAAACTTCATGGGCTGCTAATAATTTTAAAATTTTGTTGACAAGTGAAAAGGAAGAGAATTAGAGAACAGAGTATTCTTCTGTCAGCTGTAGTGTTATGATACATAATGATGATATGTAATGATAAATAATATGAATATATAGAAATAATATAATAGGCTACTATGTTTTTACAAGTTAGTGAGTATACTCCAGTGCATTTGTGGTTAAAACCTCAGTGTTAGCCACTGTAGCCCTGAACCCCCCATGTGACTTCTTAGGAGCCCAAAATGACCACAAGTGAAATACCTATCAGTCTTCATAGATGGAGGTTTACTGTGGGGCAGGCCACTAAGGAAAGCGGGAAACCACTGTTAATCCCATTTCTTTTGAACCTGAACAAGAGAAATTAAATTCCACATTAGGCTCTAGAGCAATTTCACTTCTCTGGAATGTCTGAATGTAGAAAGAGGTGTCAGTAAGCCTACAAGGGACCCTGTCCTCTGTCATCACTTCAACCATGCAGTCATACATTCAGTTGTCTGTGTGTGGAGTGCTGTCTACAACCATGCAGAGTAGACTTTTGAAATGAGCATTGAAAGAATTGTTACGCTCAATCATCTTCCAGTCGGTGCTGCCAAGCACCAGTTTGCTGGAGTTTTGGGATATTTTACTTTTTTCTATTTTTTGTAACTGTAATACAGTGTTTTGGTGAAGCTTTCTAATGCTTTTTATTAAATCCAAATTTCAGCATCACTGTATTCTGCACTACCTTGAAATAGAAAACCTTATTTTATCCTCCCTCTTTCTGTTAAAAATCTCCTATTTAATTTTTCTGAAAGTCTTCTTCATTTGGTATAATAGCCAGATTTGAAGCAGCCCACAGTTTTCAGCATTTTTGATGAGTAAACTTTGAAGTTTTTTAGTGTTTGTGCCCTTTCTCTGAGCTGGTGAGTAGAAGTATGGGAGAAATCACTGGGTCTGTTTTTCTGGAACAGATTTTTGAAACTCACTGAATCAAAAAGCTTACCATTCAGATACTGGCACAGTTCTGAGTGATTTTAATCCTACTTTCCAAGCTGCTTAGAAATCCAAGGCGTTTCAGGACCAAATAAGGAGGATCTCAGGTGCTCAATGAAGAGGTGAGAAAGCGTCTCAGACTTTGATACAGTTTGAGAACAGGACCTCCCTCCACTGCTTTTTAATGGGCTTGGAGTCTGGAGAAGTCCAGGGTCAACTGGAAGCTGGCAAAGATTATCCAAATTTTCAAGAAGAGAAAGAAGACAGACGCTGGCCATTGCAGGCCTGTCTCACGTCAGTGCCTGGTAAAATTGCGGAGAAGGTTATTCTGGCAGTTAGGTCATAGCCAGCACAGATTCACATGGGGTGAAACTTCACTGGATTTTAGGAGGATTTTCTATTTCTTGGGCTCACAGCAGCTCTCAGAATTCAAGTGACTTGGAACAAGCAATATGTAGGAGACACCAAAATAAGATGCCTAGGAAAGCAGGTATATGTACGTGTTTGAAAAGTTGCTGTACGTCACCTCATCCAAACGTTCCAAAGTATTTGACATTGCAGGTACTCTTTCTTTAATATTAGGTATGTCAGAAGACGTCTCTAAGCTTTACTGATGTATTATGAAATTTATTTTTCTGTTTCAGTCGAGCGCATATAGATTTTTTTTGATGCTTCTTTGGTTTTCATAAATCATCTTACTCAGGAAAGTATATCATGAGGCACAGTAGAACAAGTTTTATCTAGTTTTTTTGCATGTAGAAGGTAATTTTCTCAATGGAAGAAGCAGCATATTATGTTCTAAATTTTAGTTGATTATTTTATTTTTTAATAACTTGTGACTCTTCAGCATTTCCTTTCTTCACTTATTTAAATGTTTAAAATATACCTTGTGCTCTATAAGGTTTTATAAATTTAACAGTGCTTGTTTTTAACAAATAACAGTGTTATTTTGTTCAGTGTAGTCAAATTGATCTGGTGTCTTGCCACCACCTAGATTCTTAGATGCTAATCTTCACGTATACATATCTAAAGACAAGCTGTGCACAAGATAGAGGATTTCATGTATTAATATACATAATATTACAGTTATTTTTAATTTCATGGGGTTTAGATTTTTTAAAGGCCAAAAATCTTTCCTTACGGAAATTATTTTGGCCATTGTGTGTTTTTCTTTTCCTTTCCTTGACATCTTTTGGAAATTCTTCTGCCACTTTCCCAAGTCTTTTTCTTGAACAGCAAAGTTCAGTATTTATGAAGACAGTAGCTGAGGCAAATAATCTACTTACCTTTGCTGTTTAAAACATCTCTAAACTTGATCACTTAGCAGGTGTCTGTGCAGGTCAAGTTGAGAGTCAGAACAATACCAGAGGTAGTGTCAAAACTTGCCTGGGGTGAATAGGAAAAGGAACTTACTGTCTGGGTTAATACTGACTGTGTTACTTCCACTGTTTGGTTTTGTGGGTTTTTCCGCTGCTTTATTTTGTCTTGACTGTTTAAAGCTTTGTCTTGTGTGAAGTAAAAGTGGTTTTTTAATAGTTAGGAAATAATACAAAAGTATTTTGTTGCGTCTGTCAACAGATAGACTGGAGGATAGACTGAATACCAACTGGAGGAAGAAAGTCCACCTCCTTTAAAGGATACACAGTGTCATGCATAGCCTTGACTTTTTAAAACAAGCATAAAGATGTTTCAAAAAAGAAAACCTGAGTACAGAAGCTAGATTTTTGTCATTGTTTTTGTGGACACTTAAATGAGCTTGTAAAATATTATCGTTACAGAAGAAGCATTTCAGATAAAGCAAGTGTTTTGGACTGTTAAAATCATCAACTGAATGGTTCAGCTGCATTTGCAAAATCACATATAGAGGAAAAAAAAGCTTTCATAATTCAGGTTATTCATGCATGCAGATTTTGTGATAGTTTTACCCATTCCCTAATCTTTATGTATCCATGACAACACAACTTGTTCACATTTCCCAAGGAAAGCAATTAAAATGTGAAGGTTTTAATAATATAGGATTAGCAGACCTTCAAGTGTTATGTGAGATATCATACCAAAGCTGTGAGCATGAAGAGCTACATATGTAAAGGATTAACATGGAATGACAACTGCTGCTCATAAAACTACACAAATAATTATAAGTATTATCATGTTGTCCAGGTTATTGTACCATTTGTAATCCAGACTGACCTTTTTATGCAAAATAAACCGGAAAAAGACAGTAAATGCTAGTGCATTTCACTGTCAGAAGCTCTTAAGCAGGGTTTTTCTTCTCATGTAGACACCTACTGCAATTGCTTGATTTTGCTGGCACTTCTTTTTTTCCCCTTTTTATAATTTCTGCATATCATCCTCCATTAAAGTTACAGGTGAAAATGAGTAATAATACTATACTTAAGCTAAATGGTGAGCTTGGAACTGAAGGCCAGTTCCAGTGCTGCAAAATCGTGAAGGCAGACCTTTATTCCTCCTGTAGTCTGCTCCAGAAGAAAACTAAAGCTGTAAGGGGAGACTGAGGAGGCCACTTCCTTCTGCTTTTTATTCTCTTAACTTATTTGAAATAAAAATGAAATGAAGTTTGCCCCTGTAAACTCAAAAGTCTTGGCATTGACCCATACCTCTCAATTCCACATGCTCTAATATCACACTTGCAGGCTGCATGTGAAGCCCTGAAAGTACAGCAGTATTTAATTAAGTTTTTCTGAATATGAGCTTTAAGTAAAGGAGATATATAGCAGACCCAGTAAGTAAATTTGATTTAGAAATTAGTATCAACCTACTAGTATCATCAGATTAGTAATAAATAATGCATGTGCCATTGAGCAGGTAACTGATTATACAAGCTCTAAATTTCAGTAATATCAGAGAATGCTGATTGACCAGAAACAAAGTGAAGAATGGAGGAAACTAGGCAAGCCTCTTACCTTGTATTTTTCAGGTGGATGGAAGGTTGTAGTGTGTGCTTTGAGTTGACAAACATATCTGTATGGAATCCTAAGACACAGCATTCAGTAAAACTTTTCTTGAAATTTTCAGAAAATCTGACTGAAGAGAGAGAATTTTGGATAGGTGGGTGGAGTTGTGCTCTGTTGGCTGTGCTATTTAGGGTAAAGTGTTTCCTATTAAGTGGGGAGAAACTGTGTAGAGGCAATCCAGAAGCAGAGTGTGGTCAAAACATTTTGTTGCATAAACCATTGTCCCAGTGTATGGGGAAAGATGGATGCACTCCTTTGCCCTGATACCTTTTCATCCCACTCCTTAACTTCAATTTATTATTAACTGTTGATCAGAAGTTGGATTCCTGTGTCAGTTGTGAGTTATCTGTCAGTATTCTTCCTGTTATTTGTCTGGTTGTGCTACTTAATGGACACAAAACAGTCCCTTAGATTTCATCTTTAGCATTCCCCCCATAGCACAGGCCATCAGATTGCAAGGTGCTTCCTGTTGCATTGAGTCAGTCATCTGCACGTGTGCCTATGGCTCTCACCCTCAGTGCCTCATGCACGCTTTCCATGACATTCCTAACGCACCCCATGGAGTTAAATCCACAAGTACTGTGTAACATTCAGGGTACACCCAGACCGCGTATCTCCACTGCTTAATCCTGCTCCAGATAATGTCCTCTTTTCTGGACGTTTCTGCTTAAGGGCTCTCCAGAACATCGTGTTTGGCGAGAGATGACAAAACTCACTGAAGAAAATAGGGATTATATTAGTGGCCTTGGCCTGCTTCCTGTACGGCAGTTCACGGGAGCAGTGACACCACAGTGGCCTCTAGTGGGTTGTGCGGTCACTTGTGTATTCCTTTTTACTGTAAGTCTTGTGGAGGTCGGTTTAGCCTGTTTTCTGAATAGGAAGTTGTGCTCGGGCCAGAAAGGGGGGGCCAGTTAGGGACGTGTTGTTGCACACCCCTGCAGGCTGAGCTGGACCTGCCAGCTGGAAAGTGCTGGCTTGGAGGGCGGAACTTACTTGTGTGCTTGTGAACACGCGTGTCCAGTGTTTGCAAACAGTTTTGGGATATGAAACAGGGAAGAGGAGTTCAGTATTTGGTTAATAGGGGTTATCCCTTTAGTCATCTGGAAAAGCGTTTTAACAGTAGCTGGTGAAATGCAGTAATTGAAACATGTAAGACTTGTCACAGAGCAGGGAGGGATTGGAAATTTTTGTTTAAATGATAATAATCTTAGATTAGGGCCTTACATTATAGACAAGTTTGTAACACCACTATATATGGTAACGGAGAAGACGTGACTTCATTTTTCCAGGGACAGCTCTGAGGCTAGGGAGTTTCTAATTATTGTTACAGGGACTCTGGGCTTCATGCAATGCTTCATCTTGGAGTGGTTTTGTCGTTGTAAACATGTAGACAAAATGGAAGAAATTTGACAAACATTGTCATGGTCTGAGGAGGACTGTTGAGGACAGATAGATTAATTTAAGCATTAGTTATGCAGGTAAATCCCAATTAAGGATATGGGAAAAGGGAGAGAGATGTAAGTGTATAAATATTTGAATGATGTAAATGTCAAACAGAGATTTTTCAGTTGTACACAGTGGTATAAACAGAAAGGATTGAGAACAAACGAAGGCTCTGTGCCAAGTATTCCAAAAACTTTGTCAAGGAAAAGTAATGCGAAAGCAGTGTTTTCTGGAAGGAATAAATGAAACCCTGTCTCTGGAGAGAGTAACCAGGCTGGACCAGAGGTCTTAGGGAAAAAATCTAGTCCTGACTTTGGTTAGGATGGGGCTTTTTTGATTGGAACATCCATGAATTGTGTCATTGGAGAGCTCTTATAACTTAAGAGCTCTTTCTCTTTTTTTTAATAAGCTCATCAGTCAATTTTATAGGACTTGATTTAGGGTTTTGTGCTGAGGGTTTGACAGTGGTTTGGGGTTTTTTGTTGTTTTGGTTTAGGTTTTTTGCTTGTTTGTTTCTGGGGTTTGTTTTTTGGTTTTTGGTTTTTTTTAAACATATTCTAAATATTACAAAACCACCTTCAGGTATTCCTGCAATAAAATAGGTTAGTACACAATGAATTGTAATATTCATTTCAGGAATGCACTCTACAGAGTTTCTCTTTAAATTTGAAAATTACAGACAACTCCAGAGCAGAATTTTGTTCATCTTTGTTTTGCACTATTAGCTGATGATATGTCCCAAACTTTAGTGAAATAAATAAATGCATATGAACTTCCAGGTAATTGAAGCATGAAAGCCACTAGCAGAGAACAATTAAAAGAAGATCTTGCATGGTGTGTTGGTATCTACCATCATTCCAATGCCACTTCAGTAAAATATTTAGCGGGGTGTACTGTAGACTTCATCATAGATGAAGAATGTGCATTGTCAGAAGAAAAAGAGATGATGTAAGGGTTTTTTTTTACCACTCTAAATATTATAAATTATGAAGATTATTTTTTTTCTGGGTTTGTTTCTGAAGATATCTTATGTAAAAATGAAGTTAAAAACTTTCAAATTAAGTCAGATTAAAACTCCCAAAAGTAAAAAGCAGCTTGGTGTTTCGTTGAAACTTAGGTTTTAATATAAAAGTAAATCCTTGTTTTTTCTAATCCAGTGTAATCTAATTGCAGTTGATGAGTAAAGAGTCTCCAGTCTCTGTTGGAAATGATGCTTACGTTGACCTTGATCGACAGGTATCTAAGACCAAATGTTTCTTTTCCTTCCATCATAGCACATCAGTGGCCAGTCCTTTTTCTGTATTAAGAACTCTGTCTTTTTTTTTTCTTTAATCATTAAAGTGTTTTGTGGGAAAGTCAAATGAGGAGCGGAAAACTAAATTTCAGTAGTAAATATCAGAGTCCTTTAGGTTTATAGATTGAGTTTACTCCTATTCTGTGTTTAAGGGGGAAAAAAAAAGTTGATTTGGAAAACCAGTCTAGCTATATGACATAATAAAGCAAACTGCAGATTGGTACAAATCCTTAGTTATTGAGAAAGGATAAAAAATGTGTAGTATTCGAATAAAACTTTTTATGCGTGTGAATAAAACTTTTCCTACTCCCAAAGTCAGTTAAAAAAAAAAAACCAACCAAATCAAAACAAACACACGCATATTTGGGGTCCTGGAACCGGTCCAGTACATAAGAGAAGTTTTCAAATATAACCCTTCCCTGTCTGATATATTTAAAAAAATATGCAAAACCAATTGGTTTTACTAACTTAACTTCATACTAACCCTATCGTGCTCCCTCAGTTTTTTTTCTAATTGAGAAGTATCGTACAGTGGTTTTCCCTGTGTTCCTCCATCATACTTTTTCTGCAGAAATATGTAAATGCTAACAGATTAAATTAAGTTCTATATGTAAACAGGCCCTGAGAAATAAACTTGCACATACCAAGTATGATGATGCTATTTGAGAAAGCCCATTTAAACTTCATCATATATAATATCACATCTATATCTATGTCTATATGCATAACATGCACACACCTATAGCTATGTTTATGTTAACTGCATTAATTTGTAAACTGACAAGATACATATCTCTGAATATTGAGCCCTTGAAGGGAAATACCTGAATATTTACCACTGCTTACAAGGTTCAGTGCCCTTTTTCAGAAGGGTAGGCTTCTCTGTCGCCACGTTAGTTGTATCCCTGTTGTGCACTAAGAGTAGCTCCCTTTACTAGAGAGATTTTACCCTAATTGTCCATTCCCTGTATTCCGCCTTCCAGTCCTTTCAAAACTAGATTGAAAATTGAAATTATACACTCTTTGATTCTGTAAAGAAAAGTGGTATTGACAATTTTTTTCAGTGTAGAGATTTGATGAGTTCTTCAGACCCGAGTTCAAGTGTTTTTGGCTCAATTCATAGAGCAGATGTGATAATTCTTATATAAGAGCAAATATTACTTTTGGGTACTTTTACTTTTTGCTAATACACAAACTAAACAGTAATCACACCTGCTTCTTTTTTTCTTTATAAGAGTGGAATTGCCTGAGCTTTTCAAAAATTTAATTTATTACCTAACTGTGAAAATTTTACAGTCATGTAGTTCAGAATATTTTTAATTGGATCACAGAGACTGATGACAGTGTTAATGTTTATTGTTTATGCTAGCTGAAGAAAACTACAGAAGAATTAAATGAAGCACTAGCAACAAAAGAAGAAATTGCCCAGAGATGTCACGAGTTAGACATGCAGGTAAGTTTGCTATAGTGTCTGTATTGATTTTCAAGTGGGGAAAAAGATGTGTTAACTTTTAGGCAGCTGAAAATAAGCAGTAGAGTGTGGAAAACAATTTTTAAACGGGAGATGAAAATGGCACAGTAGTTATTTTGCTTCACTTGTGCTAGCAGAATGAATGTCATTGTTTTCTTATCTTGATGCAAAGTTGCCAGTATGAAGATGACTCACACTGACGAAACTTTTTTTCCTTCTGGTAGGAAGGGTTTGAGCTGCGTGGTAAAACTGTTGCGGTAGAGCACTAAGGCAGGTTCTGCTGCTGTAACAGTTTCAGTTCAGTGTTAAATACCAATAGGAAGTTACTGCAGACTATCAGCTGTGCATGGGTTTTGACTAAGCTTTACTTTAAGTCAATCATGCCTCATCTGGAAGATACGAGGAGTGTGAGGAGGAAGCCCTGAAAGGCATTGCCGTTGTAACCCTGTTTTGGAGTATAATTCAGGCTTTTTGCCAAACAGTTCGGTAACCGTTGGAATTAATGAAGCTGATCTGTGTGCTCACGGTTAATATGTGAACCCATGTTTCAGCTGTTGTTTGAGTTGGAGCACTCTGAGTTCTTCACACCACTGCCTGTTTCCACAGCGTTGGTGGAAACTGAGTCATCTTTGGAACTGTGTTCCTCTTTTGGACCTGCTTGCAGTTAGCCCTTACTGTGGAGAGCTAGTTTTATTTGTTTGCTGGGAGAGTATACAGACTTGATTATGATGAAGTTATCTTCTGTCATAACAAAGACTTTTTCTTTCAATGCCAGTGCAAAATATGTTAAAGAATAGTTACGTATTCTGTGTGGTAAATCTGCCCCTAATGTTGCAATATGTTGGTTACATCACTTAGCAATTGAATACCTATTAAATGATACAGTATATTCCTGTGAAATGTGATTATTATTGTAGTCTGTGTGTAGTCTGTGTGTTTGTGGGTTGTGTTGATATTTTATTATGTGCACAAAAAATATTTCTCTCTGAAGCTGGATGGGTCAGTTATTCTAGTCCATGCTTTTATTACAACAGGTTGCAGCCCTCCAAGAGGAGAAGAGCAGCCTGCTTGCTGAGAACCAGATTTTGATGGAACGCTTAAATCAGTCTGATTCTATTGAAGATCCCAACAGCCCTGCAGGTCGTAGGCACCTGCAGCTGCAGACACAACTAGAACAGCTCCAAGAGGAAACATTCAGGTAGAAAAGCTACACTTGGTTAGATTGTTTGTAGCTGGCGACATATGTGACTTAGGTACTTCTGGTTCTGCTGGCAATTATGAATGAGTATAATGGGTGACATAACCACAGTAGTACAGTTTTTACAGTGTCGCACACATTATGATTTACCTCTTTACAAGCTCTAGCATAACAAAATGCATCAACTTAATGCTGAAATGCTGTATACATGTCACTCTCCACTCTGTGAGTTATTTTGAATTGTTTGCATGCAGTCATTTCACCCATGTTTTTCAAAATCAGTGAGAATTAAAAGTAGCATGCTTTCCTTTACCCAAATTATTCTTATTGCGTTTTTAAGGTGTAGAAATTCGTAGACTAAGGTCTGCTACAGGCAGTTCTACAGGTGGCATTATTACATAGCAAAGTGTGTCCTTCTCTGAACTTGAAAACAAACATGGAGATTATCCACATGTGAGCTCTGCACTTCATTTGCATTTCCTCACCCTGTGGAAATACAATCCCTCTGTAAATTTCCTTCCTGGTTCTTTTGAGAATTGCTTCCAGGCTGTGTGTGCCTATTCTGCTGAGGAAAGCTGGTTCACTTCACTTTTTCATCCTCTTTGCCATACTTTCCCTCTCTTTCTTCAGTGAAACCATGGTATTTCATTACACTGCCAGTTTTTCTTTTGCTATGCTCTTCCTATTGCCCTTTTCTAATTCTTGTGATAAGTGTCATGTAACTTTCCTTTTTTGCCTGCTTTGCCATTTTTCCACTTCCTCTTATACTAAGCCTCCTTCCTGGTTATTCTGACATACCCTCTCCCATCTGTTTCTTTAAAAACGTTCAGTATTTCTCTTTCACAGCAGCTAGTGCCTGGATTTCTTCATTCTATACATCTACCATGTAAAGGAATAATGTAGTGATAGTGTCCCCTTTTATCTCTTCTGGTTCATCTCCATGCTCTGGAATGATTTCTCCCCGAGTCTGTTATCAGTTACTGTTTGAACAGATTTTTCTCCCCATATTCGATATTTCCACTGCCTGTTACTCTAATTTCAGGTTCTGAAGGTCATTCCAAACCTTTTTCACAGGTGAGACTCATTCCTGGTCTCCTTTATCTCCCTCCCCTGCCTTCATAGCATGTGGTTTCTACTGGCAATTTGTACATGTTCCTTCCAGCTCTACCTGATCAAGCAGGACATATGTACAGCTGAATTGATGTCCAGTGTGGTTCAACTGTTTTTCTCCCAGTCTTGACTCTTTGTCCTTTGACACTTCTAGTCTGTCACGATCCAAATGTTTGTTGTTTGTGGTTTAAATGACTTAAAGACTTTCTCTTGTCTCCATTCTCGTAGACTCTTTTTGGATAAAATACTTTTTTTACCCCTCGTACCCATATCTCCCTTTCTGGATTGTTCATGTTTTAGTTTCAGATCAAAATCGCCGTAGGACTTCCATGTTCCAGATTGTGTCCTTTTCCATTCATTCAAAATACTCTGACAAAGTTACTATTGCTTGTTCCCTTTTTTCACAGACAGGTCAATGGAGCTTTGCCTGTGTGTGCTGTATGCAAGCAGTTTACTCCAGCAACTTTGGTCTGAGTTCTTTACTTTTTAACTAAAAACCTGGTTCTTCAGGTGTGCTGGACATGCACAGGCTCTTTATGAGTAAATAAATAAAATGACTTTGTTGAGAGCTCTGTGGCATTTATAACATCTGACAATCAGGTCAATATTGTTGAAGGTGTATGGGAGTTGGACAACTAAACAAAATCTTACGATAAATGTATCGTGTTCAAACTCTGTATGTTCCAAGATGAAAAATAGTGAAAATTTCTACTTGAGCTTCCTTTGTGAAAAACTACTATTGCAGAAGAAACCTGAGGATTGTCTTTATGAGAACATACATTACCTTTTGATTTTCCAAGTAGAAAAACTGATATCAGATTGGAGCATCAAAAAAGTCAATCTGCTTCTACATTTTGAATAAGCACATTGGGCTGTTCTCCTTCACTGCAACAGAAGGCCATTTCATGTGTTTTTAGAGGGGATGATGATGAGGAAAGGTAACTGTGGCTCAAGGTGGAAAGTCATTTTCTGTTTTTCTTCGTTTTTACAGATTAGAAGCTGCCAAAGATGACTATCGAATACGCTGTGAAGAACTTGAAAAGGAAATTGCAGAATTGAGACAACAAACAGAAGAGCTTACTACACTGGCAGAGGAGGCTCAGTCTTTGAAGGATGAGATAGATGTACTCAGGTAAATTCTGTTCCATTAATCCTTTTTTAACTATTAACTTTTAATTTGTGTACTTAATCTACATTATCTTTTGTTTAAGTAATTTAAATATTAAATATAAATGCTTTCTCAATGCCAAGGTTCTTCTGGATCCTCCAGTTTAATTCTGCTTAAGTAAAATAGTTGTTTATTGTGTACCTTGATCACTAACTGTGAGTAGACTTAGCAGTTCTACGCAATCTTATGGTTATTACAGGGCACTTGGTGATCTCTTGAGTATTTGCTACTCACCTTCATCATGACTTGGACATCTGTTCTCGTCAGGAAACTATGCCCTTTCCTAGGTTTGCATCATTTGGACTTTGGGTGTGCTTTTGATTCATCAAATAATGCTAATATGAACACTTGTTGCAGCTCTCACTGTCACTGGATCTTAGCATACAAAGTTGTCATGATTTGATGATGCTAGGGGTTTGTAGGGTGGGACAGCCGCTTTTGCTGTGGAACATAATCCTTCAGTATTGGTACCTTGCTGCAATGAGTTATTCAGAACAGTTACCCATTCTCTCTCCCATGGCTTTGTTTTAATTTTGCCGTTTCTAATTCGCCAGCAGCTTTCTATCAAAGCTGTCTGTCTTTATCCCCTCTGTCATTAATATAAGGAATGAACCCATCAGGCTGCATAATTTCATAAACTGTCTGTGTGGGTGGCATAGGTTCAAAGAGTAATTCCTTGTTGCGAGAGAGAGGCTCTGCACTTCACTGGGGATCACAGAGATTTGGCTTGCCTCAGCATCTCATAAACTGGCCCATCAATTCGGTGGGAGATTCCCTGGGTTTCATAGGAAGTTGAGTCTGTAAATGATTTGGTTCAAAAATGAAACCAAGGACAGTGCTAGTGGTAGAGGGGTGGGTGGTTGTTGGGGTTTGGGCAGTTACTGTCCTGGCAGTGCAGTGGATATATTAAAAAAACTCTGAGAAGTTGTGAACAGAGCCTGCTGTTTCTTTTCTCTCTCTCTCTTTTTTTTTTTTTTTTTTTTTTTTTTTTAGAAGGATTCAAACTCCAAACAAATCAAACACAGTGCTTTACTTCTGTGTCACCAAGTGTGAGTTGCCCAGGAGATGGATCTTTATGATTTTATTCCTGGCTCTCATTAAAACAAATTGGAGGCCAGAAAGTTTTCTTCTTTACCCTTGTAAAATGCAGAATAGAAGATAATTTGGAATTGAAAGGAAATGAGTGGGAGTGAAGTTGTGTTAACTACTGTTTTAAGATTAGAAGCAGATAAGAAAGCTGTATCAGGAAGAGTGATAGTTTCTAAAGGACCTCTATCAGCAGTAATTTGAGTTGACAAACAGTCATATGGGAGGAAAGCAAGTAATTTAAAAGTGAAAACATTACTAATAAGAGAATATGATTGCTTTATTGTTCTCCTCATGATGTCTCAGAATGTCTTCTGCATTAAGGCAAAATAGTGAAGAAGCATTTAACTTTGTTAGTTTTGTTCGTTTTCTGAGTTCAAATTCAACACAAATCTATCCCTTCAGGCATTCTTCTGATAAAGTAGCCAAGTTAGAAAGCCAGGTAGAGTCATACAAAAAGAAATTGGAAGATCTGGGTGATTTGCGGCGTCAAGTGAAGCTTTTAGAAGAGAAGAATACAATGTACATGCAAAATACTGTGAGCCTGGAGGAAGAATTAAGGAAGGCCAACGCAGCCCGCAGTCAGCTGGAAACATACAAGAGACAGGTGAGGACAAGCACCATCAATGCAACAGTACTCTCTATTGTTCACCACTTTCTCTTCCTAATATGGTTAATACCTCAAAGTAAAAAAGAAACTATAAAAAAACCAACTCCTTCTGTTTAGAAGATTTCTGTGTTTTGTAGGTACTACCTTTGTCCTCCTTTCCTGCAATTCTTGTCGTTATTACAGGTTTATATTAGTTTACCGATAAGCAGTATTTCTTACATTTAAAAAATCAACAGAAGTTAGGGGTTCTTTCCTAAATTATTCCCAATTCATATTCAGTAGCAGGGCTTGAATTTGAGCCTCTTCTTTCAGAGAAAGTTATCTGCCTTTCGCTTAAAATTTTCCAGAAGTGAGGAATGCACCACAGCTGAGGTAGATTATTCCTCCGGTTAAGTAACCTCTCCTTTTTAAGATTCTGGTCTCTGATACTTCTGAATTTTTCCAGATAAGAAGAGAGAAGGACACATGTCGTCCCTGTTGTTTATATGCACTCAGCAGAGTACAAAATGTGTCACCAGCACACTCTCTGGAGTGAAAGGCATCTGCTTATCCTCCTGCTTATCAAAGTGCCATGTGATGCTGTTTCTGTAAAGGTGGACGATGTGCTTTAATCTTCTCTCTGCTTCTATGCTACAGGGACATGACATCACACTGACATTCTTGCTACAGGGCCAGGCAGAGCATGGCTCATTAAAGTATTAGTGCCTGCTCTGTGTTTCTGCCTGATTGAATGGTCACAGCACAGGGTCCCTGTTTGTCACCTTACAGTAGAATAAAACAGAAAAAAGCACTAACAACATTGCAAGCCCAGGAGCAATGTGTTTCCCTAAGACTTAGTAGCTCTTTTTTCCTGCACTTGGCCATCTCATTTATTAAGACAACTAGTTTGAGCCTCTGTGGCCTAGTTGTAAATACAGCCCAAATGTTTTCACCAGAAAAAAAGAACTTGGACAAGAAAAAAAATGAAATAACAGACAATTCCTGTAGTGGAACATGTCCTATGTATGAAGTATCCAACCCCAGTCATGAGAATGCCATCAGAGGAGTTTTTTCTTTGATTTAGAAGCATTGTGCTATGCAGATGTAAGTGCTTGATTCAAACTCCTATAGTAATTTGCAAGGAAATGGCATCTCCACTGCACACAGCAGAAACCTTTTCTAAGAAACTTCATTGCAGCATTAAGAATTGAAATGTGAAGATTCCAGGATAATTTTTTCATAATTTAATTCAGCCCCTTTGTGCATGTGCATTCTGATATATTTTTAACAGTATGTCTTGCTTTTCTTTGTTGCAAAATTCCTGCTTTACTCATTCCGCACTGAGATAATGCTTAGTAAATGTGATGACAGTTCATTTTTATTTTTTTTAATCCTATGCATTACCATGAAACTGTGTATCTTTCTATACCCTCACAAGTCCTAATTCAAGACAATTATACAGTTTATTTCCTGCTGTGTTTTTCTGCATGCCATTACCATAGCTTGAGTGATTACAAACATTAATGCATTTTTTTCAATTTGAGGTGAAAACTTACATCTTTTGCAAGTGGGGACACAATCACAGGTGTGAAGGCCTGTGTATTTTTTTTTATACCTGCATTTATTGTGATAGCCCCAGTGATGGATGTCACATCCGAGAAACGAAATATTTTCATATCTAGTATTTTATTTTTTTAATGTCAGAAAATGCAGGCCTGTGCTATTTTCACGGCCTTTAATTTAAGAACAACAGCAGCAAATTCCTTCTCTAAGACTTAAGACCATGCATATTTCAGGCCTTGTAGATATTTTGCTGTAGCTGTACACACTGAAAATTAAAGGGAGTGAGAAAAACTGGCTAGTCTTAATGTAAGTAGCGCTTCACAATTTAAGTTAATCTCTTCCTGTCTAATCTGAAAGCCATGAAAAAGCCTTCTTATAAATTCCTTCAGAAGAAGCTGTATGTCTTTATCTGAGTCTTCATTGACTTTTTGTGTTTGCAGTTCAGTTTTTGTTGACCTTACTTGCTTCAGTGCTCTCTGCGTTATGAGCTTCACTAATGTTCTGGGAATGAATCTTTGCTAGTAAAGGCTGAGAGTTTTGAAAAGGCAAGATTTCACTGATTTGCCTCCTACTATGCTCAGCTTTCATGTTTCTGCTCACTTAATTTTAAAAGCTCTTTACTGATCTGTAGTTGAAAGCATACATGCGGCTTTGTTAGCAGTGTTTCTCCCCGAAATAAGGAAAACTCTTTATAAGCCTGTGGCCGAATCTTTATATTAACGTATTAGAAGTTATTAGGAAATCTCAGGTTAGGAAATGTTACTTTTCTGCATGAACTCGTAGGTGTAGGTAATTTGCTTTCTTCAGAGTTTTTTCTTCTTACTAGGCTTCTCAGAATGCAGGGAGATTTTTCTGCTTTTCCTAAGCTCTTTGATCCCTAGAATTATGTAGCTTTTTTTCTGTACAACTTACTTGAGCTTAAATTCTTGTTTTAGATGTACTGAAAATACTTCACTAGTTTTTGTGTCTTTTGCTTGTACTAAGACCTAATATTTGAATGCTGTTTGTTTTGCTGAAACACAGAACAACTTATGAAAGAAGTTTTAGTGTGTCCTGTAGGTAGTTATTTCACTTGTTTACAACATGACTCATGGTGCATGGTAACGGGCTACTTTGTCTTTTGTATTTTGTTTTAATATTTGCAGACATATTATTGATTCTTGTTCTCACAGGCAGTTGAACTACAAAACAGGTTATCTGAAGAGTCCAAGAAAGCTGATAAATTAGATTATGAATGCAAACGACTGAAAGAAAAAGTAGACAGCCTCCAAAAAGAAAAAGATGTAAGTGCCAAGGTGTTATTTTTTTGTTAGTAATGATAGCAACTTTGTAACACAGAGATATGGTAATTAGAGTTAGCAATCTTTTTAAATTAGGAAGTCTTTTTTCAGCTAAAATTTTCCAGTGTTTCTGTACAAGATACTTTTTAAACCTAAGAGTTGTACAGCATGGAATAAAGTGACTGTACAAAAACATATGCAACCCATTTTTAAGAGGAAGAGCGTTCTTATTTGGCATCTGAAGTTGTTTACTATTTACCATGAGAAGGTTAATAAATACCTAGGGTAATTTTCATGTATTCTGAAAAACTGTTTACAGTAGGGTTTCTGTGGTATCATCTTAGAACTAAACTCCTGTTGCATTTTTTTTCCTAAGGCATTCTTCGAGGTACCATCAGTGTACTTCTCTTTGGGGATTCATGATTACTGTAGCAAGAGGCTTAGTAGTTGTGTAGAGGGAAGTGTCCTTTGTGGCGATCTCACCTTTTATGACAGCTCCTTGTTGATCTATCTTACACTGCCAACATGGAACACACAGGGTAGATACTAACCTGTCCCCTTCCACTTGTGTCATTTGCTGCTAGTGATTCTGCGATTGATTGCTCTCTTTTGCCCATACTGATCCTTCAAACTTCTCTTGCACACTGTTGTTTCTTACCAGTTTACTTTGGCTTGTTTCTTGGGAATGTATATGCAGGTGCCTCAGACTACCTCAAACCAAGGTCAGCACTTTGAGTTAGCAGTTTCTTAGACATGTTATAATTATCAGTCCATCAATACAATACAGCTGTCAGAAGCTCTGTAGGCTTTTTCCTCAATAGTCATATTTCATGTCCAGTTCTTTCTGAAATTTCCAGGCCCTGCACCTGAATATCATTTCAACTGAAAGTTTTCAGTTATTTTATGTTCATAGGTCATTGATTTCTATTTTTTATTAAATTTTTGGACACTTGACCTTCAGATCACTTCAATCTGCCTTTCATTTCAGGCTGAAATGCTTGTAGTAATTGTATTTGTACTGCGCTTTGGCTTTCTTTCCTGCTCTTTATTTTTAAATTGGGGTGGTTTTTTTCCCCAGTGCTTTTGTTTGACAGTGGTAAAGTTGTCTCTGTGGCTTATCCATTGCTTAGTGGACCATTTCATCTTGCACAAAGGATCTGAATTGCAGGCCATTGTCATACAGTTTTCCATTTTACCCCCTGACAAATAGTATTTTATTGGGCTGTTTTTGAGTATATTCTTTTGGATGCCTGTGAGAAACAGATTACAGCTAGAAGTCTCTCATCATATGGAGGTAGTGATTCACTCACTGTCAGTTACCTACTCTTTCTGTTCCCTCTTGTCACAATACTTATCAGTAAGGTAGCCCACCACAGGTCATAAGCTATGTAGTGCTATCTTGTTAGTTATATTTTGGATGCAGTTGCTGAAATTGATTTTATCCTTTTCTTTATGTTCTGGCAAAGCATGGTAGTGTGTTTTGATATCTTCAGCTATGTAGCTTGGAACTTTACCTCTGTGGTGTGTTATGTGATAAGTACTAAGATAATTTGATGAGTTGCTTGTCTAAATGAAGCCCTTGAGCTTTTTCTAGCCATTACAATATTCTGGCATTTGATAATCAACTGTTAATAGAATGAAATGCAAGGACCTCTCAGCTAACACAACTTCATACCTACACAGAGCCAAGATCTGTCCTGGACCATTTAGTAATACTGAACATTTCTAATTTTGGAGCAAACTGCAGCTTGGATCATTAAAGAGTTGCCATTTTCTTCTTTCGTTTTTGACTCTTGGCAACATTCTGCACAAAGACTTGGTGCTATCTGTAGATTCTCATTTTTTTTTGCCAGAAGGCAACTTGTGCCAAACTGAGAGAGTATTTGCCTGATGCTACTAAATAACACATCTCTCTGGATCCCAAGGTGGTCCAGTCCTGTTCTTCAGTTCTCTTTGGACCGAGTCTTAAGCAACTAATTTTCTTTTATGGCCAAGATTCTGATGAGTGGCAAGGCCAGCTGATACACAGGTGGAATGGGATATGGAAATGCGGCTCCCACTTTCACTGGTAAAAGACAAACAAAATGGAGTTAAAACAGTTTGTTATGTTGACTGTGTACTCGCCTGCTCTTTATTTCGCTCCTGTGTAAACCTTGGATACATGGTGAGGGAAAATTCTATGCTCTCTTAATTCACTTCCCTTTGCCTTGGAATCAGCCCCAATGAAAGGAAAAGGAAAATGTCTGACTGGCCACAGTGGATGCAATTTACTACCCATACAGTAACTTTGCATCTCTAATTATCTCAATTTTGTAAACTTATACCCTGTTTTTTCTAGCCTCCTAAGATCAGCAACTCTTCTCCAAAAAAACACCACTGGCCATGTGGAATATATAATACTTAAATTTATTCTATTGTGAAATGGACTGAGATACCTTAATTTCAAAATGATCTCTAGAATTACATTACATTCTTTTTGAAGTGTTGAAGTCTATGCCTTTTGGTGACCTGTATACTGCTAAAGATGGGTGTGTAGTGCCAAGACTGATGTTTGTTATTTGTTCTCTTTCCAATTGTTCTCTTTCCAATTGTTCTCTTTCCGATTATTCAGAGATTAAGAACAGAAAGGGATTCCTTGAAAGAAACTATTGAAGAGCTTAGATGTGTACAAGCTCAGGAGGGTCAACTCACCACTACAGGTAAAAGACAAATAAGGAGATTAAATGCCTCTTTTCTAAAGTTTACAGGACCTCTCTGGAGAGTATTGATTGTGCTTTTGTTTAGCACACAATAAGTTTAAGCTCCTCTAAAATCAGAAGTGAAAAACAGCTTCAACTATTTATAACTTCCTCACCAAGCAAAGACTTTGCATATTACTTCAGTCAATCAGAAATTTTACTCTCTTCCCCGGTGTGATATTTTTATAATGTATATCTGATTTCTGTGTAGTTACATAATTTTCTTTAGAGACATGTTTTTTCATGATGTTTCATGTGTTATGGTTCATTTCTATCTGTAATGTTGCATAGCTTTGTAGTTCTTAGATAAGCTAATGAGCAGAAAAGAAATTGCAAAATTATTTCTTCAGAATGGATGAAGTCTGAAGTAATTATTAATCTCCAAATGAAATGGTGCTTGCCTGTCTGTCGTACTGTAGCCTTTGTGTCATTTTACATTGTCTAGCAGTAGTCTAAAACTGTAAATTTCTAAAACAGTGTTTACTTCTTTTCATGTAAAGAAAGTAAATGGTGTGCTTGCAAAAGTTTTTACTTTTCCTTACTCAGGATTGATGCCTCTGGGAAGACAAGAACCTTCTGACAGTTTAGCAGCAGAAATCATTACTCCTGAAATAAAGTAAGCTAATATGTGCTTTGTTTTACTAACCTTTACAGTGCTCTATGGCAAGTTGAATCTGAGTCAGCAGTGCCCTGGTAGCCAGGAGGGCCAACCATGTCCAGGGGGCATCAGGCAAACCATCACCAGCCGGGTGAGGGAGGGGATTGTCCTGCTCTGCTCTGACCTGGGGTGGCCCCAGCCTGAATATTGTGGCAGTTTGGGGCACTGCAATATAAGAAGCACATAAAGCTATTATAGAGTATCCAGAGGAGGGCCATGAGGATGGTGAAGGGACTGGAGGGGAAGCTGTATGAGGAGCAGCTGAGGTCACTTGGTCTGTTCAGCCTGGAGAAGACCTCGTGGTGGTCTTCTGAACTCTGAGGGGAGACCTCATGGTGATCTTCATCTTCCTAGTGAGGGGAAGAGGAGGGGCAGACATTGATCTCTTCTCTGGGGTTACCAGTGACAGAACCTGAGGGAATGGCCTGAAGTTGTGTCAGGGGAGCTTTAGGTTGGATATTAGGAAAAGATTCTTCCCCCAGAGGGTGGTTGGGCACTGAACAGGCTCCCCAGGGGAGTGGTCACAGCATCAAGCCTGGCAGAGTTCAAGAAGATGAGGCTCAGTCGCATGGTGTGGTTCTTGGGGATGGTTCTGAGCAGGGCCAGGAGTTCAACTTTGATGATTCCTGTGGGCTACCAAATTCCTGGATTTTCTCTAAGCATACATGTTTCCATGTACACTGTTTCCAGCAGGAAGGTGGCTTCCATGCCTGCTTGTTAGAGATGGACAGTAGCAGTGACTGCTGTATGTCTGAAACTTCTTGATCTGGAGGTCCAGGCTTTTGCTTCTGCTGATGAATGGGGAAGACTGCACAAAGCAGCCCTCTACAGAATTAGCTATAGTGCTCTCTTGACCCCCCCATGGTGACAGAACATGGCACTTTTCTTGGTCCCCTAGAGAAGACCTGCAGACCAAATGGGAGTATTTCCTGAGGCAGTTCAGTCCATGGCCTATCAGATTACCTGTGGTAATCAGCAAATTAAAGTGACACAAGGAGTTGACAAGGCTCACTGAAAAAGCTTTAAACTAGATTTGAAGGGGAAATGGATAAAGGCAGGCTCACCAGAGATGAACTGGGAACCCTGTTGTTCTGTTTTCACAGAATCATTGGGGCATTCACAGCTTCTGAGGGCAACCTGTGCCAGTGCCTCAAAACACTCACCACCTTCAAAAGAATTTTTTTTCTCGTATCTAATCCAAATATTTTTTACTTAGAAGCCATTCCCCCTTGTCTTTTCACTCCATGTCCTTGTAAAAATTCCGTTTCCAGCTCTCTTGTAGACTTGCTGCAGGTACTGAAAGGCTTCTCTGAGATATCCCTGGATCTTCCTTGGCCTGAACAACCCCAACTCTCTCAGCCTTTCCTCATAGGAGAGGTATTCCATCCCTGTGATCAACTCAGTGTCCTCCTCTGCACTCACTTCAACTAGCCCTGTGCTGAGCACCCCAGAGCTGGATGCAGTGTAACATGTGGGATCTCACCAGAGCAGACTAGAAGGACAGAATCCCCTCCCTTTCTCTGCTGGTCATGCTGCTTTTGATGCAACCCAGGACACAATTGGCTTTCTGGGCTGTGAGTGCACATTGCTGGGTCATGTCCAGCCTCTCACCCACCAGCACCCCTGGGTCCTTCTCAGCAGGGCTGCTCTCAATCTGCTCATCCCCAGCCTGTGCTGATACTGGGAGTTGCCCTGACCCAGGTGCAGCACTGTGCACTTAGCCTTGTTGAACCTTATGAGTTTTCCATGGGCCCACTTCTTGAGCTTGTCCAGGTCCCTCTGGATGGCATCCTGTCATTCAGGTGTAGATTTGGGGGTGTTGTGTAATGGCTGAACATGAGCCAGCAGTGTGCTCAGGTGCCAAGAAGGCCAGTGGCGTCCTAGCTTGTATCAGCAGTAGTGTGGCCTGCAGGACCAGGGCAGTGATTGTCCCCCTGTAGTCAGCACTGATGAGGCCACACCTCGAGTACTGTGTCCAGTTCCAGGCCCCTCACTTCAAGAAGGACATTAAGGTGCTAGAGCATGTCCAGAAAAGGACAATGGAGCCAGTGAAGGGTCTAGAGTATAAATCATACAAGGAGCAGGGGGGAGGAGGTGTTTATTCTGGAGAAAAGGAGGCTCAGGGGTGACTTTGTCACTCTCTACCACCACCTGAAAGGAGGTTTTAACATGGCGGGGGTTGGTCTCTTCTCCCAAGTAATAAGAGGTGGGACAAGAGGAAATGGTCTCAAGTTGTGCCAGGGGAGATTTAGACTGGCTATTTGAAATCAAGTGTTGTCTAGCATTGGAGCAGCCTACCCAGAGAAGTGTTTGAATCACCATCTCTGAAGGTATTTGAGAAATGTGTAGATGTGGTGCCTGGGGACATGGTTCTGTGGTGGACTTGGCAGTGCTGGGTTTATGTTTAGATTTGATGATCTTAATAGTCTTTTTCAGCCCAAATGATTCTGTGAAAACAGATCAACGGGGTTGAAGTGACTTGCTCAGGTTTATGCAGTAGTTCAGTGAGCTGAGATTACAGCCTTCCTTCACACTTGAGTATTGAGTTTTGCATTCTTCGTGTTTGCCCTATATCTATTCAGCTGTACTCTTGAGATCTAATAGGGGTACTCAGGTGATTTCCTTGTGCTGTGCTTTCTACAGTTACAGTTCCTTGAATTAAGTTTATGTTTGGGGTTTTGAAGAGACATGGTTGTTGTCTTCAGCTGTCTTAAACTGTCTTGCTTGAATAGGTAAAGATGATATTTGTAAAGATGATACTACCTATGGTAAACTGTCTTCTTTGTTATAGAGTCTGGCATTCTTTTTTTCTACAAAATTGTGTTTTATGTGTTTAGGGAGAAACTCATTCGCCTTCAGCATGAGAACAAGATGTTAAAATTGAACCAAGAAGGTTCTGACAATGAAAAGATTGCCTTGCTGCAGAGCCTTCTTGATGATGCAAACTTACGGAAGAATGAACTGGAGACAGAAAACAGGTAAGAATTTTTGTCCTCTGTTTCACTTGACTTTTCTAATAATGCCATATACTTTTGACTGTACTGTGTCCAATACAGGTATCCCCAGGACAAGAAAGACATGGACTTAGTGGAGTCAGTACTGTGAAAGGCCACAGTGGTGTGACTACAGGACTGCTGTGTCTTTCATGAGTAGAATCTGAAGGATAGAGACTATGTAGCCTGAAAAAGAGAAGGCTCAGGGTGGATCTTATCAATATATCTTACCAAAGTATCTGATGGGAGAGTCTAAAGGAGATAGAGCTAGACTCTTCTCTGTGATGCTCAGTAAAAGAGCAAGAGGCAGTGGGCAGAGCTTAAAACACATTTTATTTTGTCTGAATGTAAGAACATACTTTTTTTTTTGCTGTGAGGGTTGCTGAACACTGGATTATGTTGCCTAGAGAGGTTGTCTCCATCCTTGGAGATATTTAAAACTCAACAGGACATGTTCCCAGGCAACCTGCTCTAACTGACCCTGCTAGATTGAGGCAATCATACAGATATCCATGGGACCAGAAAGTGCATCTGAGCATGCCACAGTAGTTGGCTGTTATTGATGTGAGGCTACTCTCTATCTAACCTTCCTCTGTCTCCCCCTTCAATTGGGTAAAGCACGTGAAGCCTGGGAAAAGGTAAATGCTGCACTCACCTTCAAGAAGGGCAAGAAAAAGAGTATGAAGAACTACAGAGACTGGTCAACCACAGCTCACTTTCTGGGAAATTCATAAAGCAGCTCCATCCGGAATCTGTTTCTAGCTGCATTGAGGGAAAAGAAAATAATTGGGAAAGGTCAACATGAATTTATTCAGAGCAAATCATGCGTAGCTAAACCAATTGTCTTGATGATGATATGACTGCACATCTGAAGAAGGGTGAACAGAGGATGGTACTTAGCTTAGGTTCAGCAAAACCTTTGACAGTGTCCCATGATATCCTTATGTTTAGAATGGTTAGATATAAACTGAAGAAGTGGACACTAAAGTGATCAGAAAATTGGCTGGACAGTGGTTGGACAGCTGAGTCTGATATGTTATTGTTAGTGATATGAAACCCAAGTGGCAACCAGTTCCTCAGGCGTCAATACCAGGACCAGTGCTGTCCATCACCTTTATAAACAGCTTGACTGATGAGAGGGACTACTCTCTCAGCAGGTTTGAGGATGGTACCACTTTGAGAGGAGACATTGATATCCTGAAAGGGAGAGCTGTTATTCAGAGGTGCTCAACAGTACAGAGAAATGAGCTGATGGGAGCCCTGTCCCTGGCTAGGAGCAGTAGGCTGTGGAGCAGCTCTGCTGCCAAAGCCTCGAGGTTCTACTGGGCAGCACAGTAGGATGTGTTATCTGGGGACCTTGCAGTTGACTGTGATCCTGACTGCCCTCAGCAAGGTGCAAGCAATCAGTCTGGGAAAATGATTGTTCACCTCTCGTCGGTACTTAAGATATCACATCTGGATGTAACATATAATTTTGGATTCCCCAGTAGAAGAAAGAGGGGGATGTGTAGGAGTGCAGCAGAACACCTCTGAGGTGAGGGATGCTGGAGCACGTGATAGGGGGAGAACAAAATCAAGAACTGGGTTTGTCTGGGCCAAAGAAAAGGTGGATTAGAGGAGATCATACTGTCTTCTGCATCTGCGTGATGGGAAGGTGTCAAGAAGACAGAGTCAGACTCTTCTCAAGAGACTGTAGGTGGAAGGACAAGAGGCAACAGATGCAATATGGAGTACAGGTCTGAGCTCTGGAAGAGAAGCTCAAAGGCCTCTATCCTTAGAAGTGTCCAAACTTGGTACTGGATGTGGTTCCCAGCAATCTGCTGTAGGTGCACCTGCTTTAAGGAGGAGGCTGGATTTAGACAACCTCTGGAGATCCCTTTCCTCCCTACGTGTCTGTAGGATGGAAAGGGATCCTTACCTAGGATTCTGTAACTGTGTAAAAGCAGTAAGCTAGCAGCTCTCACACAGTAAACTGATCATTAGAAACTCCTGTTTCATGTGTATAGAAATGATTTCTGCATGCATTTATGTTGTCCTGGAAGAGTATCAGAATGTTCTGGATGACAATAGTAAATGTTTGTAATTTTTATGTAAATTTTTTTGCGAATAAATTACAGTATTGCACCTGTTATGTAGATAATCTGAAAACACTGGACACTAAAAATCTGACTTCCTCTTGCATTTGTTTGGGTTTTTTCTGAAAAACATATGTTTCTGTTATCTCTTTCCTAGATTGGTAAATCAGAGACTTCTAGAAGTGCAGTCCCAGGTTGAAGAACTACAAAAATCTTTACAGGATCAAGGTTCAAAAGCTGAAGATGTAAGTAGAAATGTGCATCAAACTTACATTCGAGTACTTACCATTTTTGAAACTTTGACCTTTTTGTAAAAAAAAACTATGTAAAAGAAATATACACACAGATTTCTGATAGTTTTCCATATTTACTCGTGTGGTCTTATCACTAAATTGTGCTTCTCTAAATAGGATGTGAGATATTTGTGTAGAATAGAAAACCATCCTATGTAGAGAAGGTGTCAAATATGTTTTATTTGAATAATTGTGTCTGTTCCAATAGAAAACTTAGCATTTATTTAATTAGAATAGAGAGTTTTACAGGGAATTAGGGAAATGTTGATTCTCCGTGAATAAAGTATTTGAAGTTATTTTTGGTTTAGTTTTCTTAATGAGGATTAAGGCCTTTCCAGCCAGTGGGAGCTCTGCAATTGTTGATGTAAATGTATCTCATAATGGAAAAAAACAGGCAGACCAAAACTGAAAAAAAAAAAAAGTAAAATAATTAGGCCCTCAACATCATGCAGCATTTTCTGTTTCTATATACAGAGTTAATTTTATTTTAAATGTAAGAATACATATTGCAGCTGAGTTACTGTGGAAAACAACTTTCAGTCTTCCACTCAAAAATTGTTTACCATCTTCTGTATTTGAAAAAAGAAGCTCTAGAACTTTCTTGAAAGCAGTGATTTGTTGGATTGTACATGCACAGTGTATGCTCACACTCTCAGTGTATTGTGTTGCTAATTGGCAACAAATTTTAATGTGTTGCTTTCTATTTTTGTGGTTTTGTTTTAACTAATTTATATAAAATATGGAAGTTTCTACTAGCTGCTTATGTTCATTTAAGAGTGTGTTTAATTTAGCTTATCCTTTTAATTTTCAGAATAAACTATATGAATGTAAAACATCTAGTCGATTTCCAATAAGATTATTTTCCTAAGTAACTTAGGACATATTTTAGAATGCATTTTAAAATAGACCCATTCTGAGATGTTCTTTGTCTTGGTTATTGGCCAAAATCAAATTTTTCAGGATGAACTAGAATATGAAAAAATTATTCTCAGGCATTGACTATTGTAAATGATCCTTTTCTAATCGTATTCAACTTTATTTACTATGATTTTAATTGTGTCCCTTTTTGAGGCTCTGGTTGGGACAGAAATTTAGGATGTGTCTGCATCTCGCTTACAGGACTGATTGCAGCCTGTGTAGGTGCCATCTGAAATGATTCTGTTGACAGCACAACACCACGGCACAGCCTCTGTGTGTGCCAGGCAGCCCTTGCCAAATCAGAGCTGGCAAGTTCGTGGTGCAGTTGCTGCACTCACAGCCTCAGTGTAGGTCTGACCATACCACTGGTGATTTATGGGCCCTAATCCCATGGCCTGTTTCACTTAGTCTGGTGTGTAGGATTTCATTTAGTCCTAAAGAAGCAAAAGAGTGAGTGTAGACTCAGAGAAGGGTTGAGGATGCAAGAACCTCTGACGTTATGGTCACCACATGCAGTCTCCCTGACAAAGCAAAGCAAACCTCAGAAGTTAAACCCAGCTGCTTAAGTAGATGGAAGTTGGGGCTACCCGAGTTACCCATAAGGTATTAATACAAACAGAGGGATTCTTCAGAAGCATGAGAAAAAGTGTTAGGAGAAACACGGTGTACAGTTCATTGATAGATCATTTTCAGCACATTTCCTCTGTTTTTTCACTACTTTTCTGCAACAATGCACAGAAATCCATATTTTTATATACTGAGACTTTAGATGTGCTCAATCCAGAAAACTGAAGACTCCAGTTCAATTCAAAATTGTGTGATGAGTGATAAGGTCTGGTTTTTGTTGAGGTTTCGTTTGGTTTTAGAGTTGAAGTTATTTTTAGGCCTGTAAGTAGTAGAAGTACTACCCTAACACAGGCAAGTGTCATTGTGGAGAAACATGCTGTGTGCCAAGGTCCATATGGGGAAGCAGTTTTGATTTTGTATTGAGGTGCAGTGGAAGGCAGCTGTTCAAAAGGTGTCGCTGCCATTGGCCTGTAATGGGCACTGACGTGTTCTCTTGGGATGAATGATTAGTCCATCCTGGCTGTTGCCTTGCTAGCCAGGGAAAAGCCTCCTTACCCCAACCTTCTGGACTATAGAATCAACTCAGACATGTCTCGTGTGGTCGGAATAGGTTTGATTTATTGTCCTTTAGAAACCGTAGTCATGTGGGGGCTGCTCAACTGCTACCCCAAACAGTTTCGACTAAATCATTTGTATGCCTTATCATCACTGTCCTTTCTCATCCTTGTTCTCATGTTCTCTGCCCTCATCCCTTCCTATATAAACACTGCCTTTAGTTACCTCTGCCCCACTTGCTAAGTCCATCCCACGCCTGACGTTTCTCATAATGTTACACATGCAAACTTGGTCTTACGTGCTGTTACTGACACAACACCTGCCGAGAAGGTCCCCACAACTCTGTTACAAGTGAAGTTTGGCCACTTTGCTCATTTGGTGAAACACTGGTTGCCTGGAGAAGGTGTGGATGCCCCATCCATGGAAGCATTCAAGGTTGGGCAGGGCTCTGAGCAACCTGATCTCGTTGAAGATGTCCCCGCTTACTGCGGGGAATTTGGCTGAGACCTTTAAAGGTCCCTACCAACCCAAACAATTCTGTGATTACTCTTAACATCTGTGAAATCTGACCATCCCTTGTGGTGTTGTTTGTCACTTTCATCATCTTCTCACAGCCTTACCAGTTTCATCAAGCAATTTTCTGAAGTGATGTCCCACAGTTTCCCTTACCCTGCTAAGTCAGCTTAACCTCAAACCAGAGCCTAGCCTGTAACATTAACATATAAAACAAAACCAAATTTTGTCCTGAAAAGGTAGACAGACCTGTTTCTTTGGCTTTTTAAATATGAAAGAAATTTCCAGCAAAAAGACTTTTTTTCAGTATTTTTTTAATGCAAAAGAAAGATAGCAATTGGATACCTGTTTCCTAAAACCACACTGTAATAAGTATCTTGTTCTGCTGTTTTGTAAGTGGAACTTGGCTGCAGCCAGAGGAAAAAGCAAATTACTAAGCATTTGCTGATTTTTGCAGTTTTGTTATAGATATGTACTTCTATTATGAACAGATAAAACATTTTAATGAAGTTAAATGTAAAGCTGGGTCAAAATTAGATAAAGGTTTATTTTGGGGTTTTTTGGGTTTTTTTAGATTGGAATTTTTATAGGAAACTTCCTATGATATAACAATGATAGTAATTACATTGTAGAAGCAGAAGATTTGTGTATGAGTCCTTAAAGCTTACTGAGGCTGCAAAAAAACCAGGAGTAATGTTTGCCCATTTTTAGAGTAATTTATTTGAATTTACCTACCTGGCTACAAGTATATACAGGATCTTTGGGTGGGTAAAATTACACATTTTATGTTTTAGTCTTTTTCCTAATCTTGTCTTTTGGGTAAATTGCTGTGGGTAAACTCAGTTCTGCTTCTTTTAGTTATTTATCACAATTAGTGCTATTTATCACAATTGGTTTCTTACTTGTGAGAACATGATCTGTTTTGGTGGGAGAGGGGTTACTCCCACAACAGTGCAGGTAGGAGGCAAACAAGTGCAGAAATACAGCAGGGGAGTGAACCTGGACTGGTAGTTGTGTCTGTGCCAAGCTAAACCCAAGTGCAATAGAAGGACAGCAAAAGAAAAGCTGAGTTCAGTTTTTATTAGGGAAATGGGCACTGCTTCCAACTTTTTCCTATCCTGTCCTAACCAACCAGTAGTCCCCTGAATGATCAGATATAAATGGTGATGCCAGTTCAAATGGTTTGTGACCGAGAAGGATGCATACAAATATTTTTTTTGTTACAGAAAAGGTGATGTTGCTACAGTTGTTCAGAGGACTGGAAAATTAAAAAGCCACATGGTCAAAACATACAAATCCTTAACTGCTACGAATTTCTGACTGTGAAATCAATAGAGTCTTGCTGGCTCGTTTTTACAGCTCTCCACCTTGCTTATAGTGGCAATAAGAAAATCTCATTTGAAATAATGTAAAAACACCCCCCAGGAATGTGATCAAAGACAGTATTTTGAAGTATAGCCAAGCTAAAAAGCAATATTTCTATTAGCAAGGTGTCTAAACCTTTATTGAAAGAGCATTGGAGAAAAAACAGTGAAGTAATTTTGTTGATGATTTTATCTAATAATTTGGTGGTGATCTGGACCATCAGTCACGTGCTAAACCTCAGGCATGATTAGTACTGGATAAATACAAACCAAAATGACATTTTCAGATTTAAATGTTCTACGTTGTTTTGTATTCAACCAGTGTGGCAATAACACAATTCAGCATCACACCACAAAAACACACACATGCATCCCTTAATTTTTATTGTAGCCCAAGAGACTGCTTGTTTCCCTTCGCTTTGTTGGTTGTATGATTTTTATTTTAAAATGACTTCCCAAAATAGCAGTTGCTCTCTTTTGAAATTCTGTGTTTAAACACAATGATTTATAAATGTGCTTCCTTATTATTTTTACATTTTTGGGTTTAGTGATGTGTTTTAGAAAATGTTACAGGATGAAATTGCTCATAAGAACAGAGGAAAAAATTGCGCATGCGTGAAAAAGTACATAGCTTTAACTTTTTCTGTTCATGACTTTCTAAATAGTTTCTTCTGTTGGCTGCTGTTTTGCTTTATACTAATGTCATCTCTGTTTCTTGGCATGGGCTTCTGCTCAAGGCTATTGTGAGTATGGCTTTCTATTTACTTAACACTACTTTCAGTTCATAGACATTTATTAAGTTTATTTTTTTTTGAAAGATACTCACCGTGTATGAAGTGAGTTTAAAATTTAAAATTTTCCTCAAAGCTTTTATTTAAAGAGCTTGTCTAAATGTGATTTAACCAGAAAGTGGAACACTGTAAGTTGTATGGTAATTTTTATGTGTCTGTAATCAGTAAAGATAAGAAACAGAAAAAAGGTAGAATTTCTGCTATACTTCAGTCAGAAATACTCTACTCCTTCTGGTTTCTATGGGGATGGGAGTTTACTTCAACTAATTTGCTACATGTCTTCATGCAAATTGCAGTGCAATGTTGGTAGGATAGCTCTTCTTGCAAATTTTGCTGCACTTTTCAATTTCAGGTTAATTTACCAAGTCTAATTACAAAAGAACTGAACAAATTAAAACAATAGAATTTTGTCATTTATGGATCTTGCTTTTACTGATCTAGTTCCTGGGGAAATATCAGTAAAGTTCTAAAGCATTCTAATTTTGCTGAAGTCACACAGTTGTGGAGAGAAAGATTGCTACCACAGAGGGTCCTTTATAGTTGTGATCTAAAACTGAAGTAAAAAAGTTGTATTTTGATTAAATGTCAAAATTACATGTTTTAAAATAATTTTAAAGTTATGCTAAAGCTTCACAATATATTAAAATAAAATGTTTAACTTTCTGTTTTAGTCAATGCTTCTGAAAAAGAAACTTGAAGAACATCTGTAAGTATTTCTGTTTGCCTATTTTGTTTGCAATTTGAAATGGAGTGTTTTCCGTATGATAAGGAAGGCAGACAGTCATTAATCCTGGATCTGGAAAATATACAGCTCAGAGAAATTAGATAACACAGGAATGTTTGGGAATCTGCTGTTCAGATTCTATTTTTATTTCATACAGAGCCATTGTGAAAGCAATAAGAGCGATGAAAAAAACCATCATTTTGTGTTGGTTAGAAAACTTTACTTAACATTGTGTAAATCTTTGCTCTGAAGGACTAAGTAATTTTGTTCTAAGGAAAGCATTATTAAATTTCAAAGGAAATTTAATAAACATAATTAATTTGTTTACTCTTTAGTATGTATTATGGCACAAAAGGTAATACTTTAGGGAGTCCTATCATTTTGTTGCACTATTTTTGCACGTCTTTTACTTGCCTAAAATGCAAAGAGATGTTTGCTTTTTGACTGTCTTGCAGAAAAAAGTTTCTGTTGCCTTTGGGTTTAGCCATTCTTTCTCAGTGTAATCTCCGTTATCAGTATTCATTTTAGGCACTCACTGTACAACTAACTCTTATGTTCTAACTTAAAGAAACTGTTTCCTGTTGCAGTTCTCCATAGACCATAATATTTTTCGTCTTACTTAACAAATATTTTCACAGTCACACTGTCACTTGTCCTCATGCCCTACAGCAAAAAAATCAATCATGCTCTCAGAAATGTATCATTCTCTGAGGATTTTCTGTACTGCTTAATGGTCATTCAAGCACAGTAATAATATTGGGAAAACAATATGTGCTTTTGTGGTTTGTAACAGTGAGAAACTCCATGAAGCTAACAATGAGCTACAGAAGAAACGAGCTATTATTGAAGATTTGGAACCAAGATGCAATAACAGTTGTGAGTTACCTGTGCAGTCCATTTCTTTTCTTTGTAAAGTATTTCATGTGCAAGGTCTTTAATTTTAATACCTAAAGGAGGTGTCAGGTAAGCAAAATGTACATTTTTAGTGGAAGTGACATCTATGTTATTAATTTCTCTGAAAACTGTGGTGACCAAAAAGATGGTTCTAACACTTGACATGCATGGGATAACGTTTTAGAGACCACTGTAGTAAGAAATCATAGAATCACAGAACATTAAGGGATTGGAATGGACCTTAGAGATCATCTAGTCCTGACCCCCACTGACAGTGGTCATAGAAATATCAGGTCACTGTCATAACTGCCACTGAACTTCAGATGTTCAGGACTGTCATGTCTCATAAGACCCTAATTTAGAAGATCCTTTCTACCATCACGATTTTATTTTTACTTTCAATATATATTCCTTCAGTGTGTTTTCAAAAATATGTTGTAATATATATATATATAATATATATCATTTTGCTCAGATGGTATCCAGCACCCAGAGTCTAGTTGGGTTTTAGAACCTTACTGCTACATGTTTTCCAGAGAAGTAATGAAGGAGGTAGTTTGGGTTTTTTTCCCAGGACTATTTATAATAGAACAACTTAAAAGATTGTAACCGATGGCAGGTTTTTTTTGATTTGTGGTAAAATGATTTCATTTGTAACAAGGTGGTGGAAAAAACAGAAAAAGATACAGTTTTCTGAGATCTGAAAAGTTGTATAAAGGTGAAAAAGTAATAGTGGCTCGACATACACTTATACCAACGCAGGAAAAAGCTGTGCAATGAAATTGTCCTACTGGTCTCCATTGCTGCTTAAGAAAATGTGAGGAGAAAATTATATTTCTGTATGTCATATTTCTAATAAACAGTGTTACAGTTTAGCAGATTTAAGCAAGAGTTGTACCTGGTAAGAATTATTCCTCTTACAAAATAGGAAAAATCATATTTGTCTGTATTACATGCCAAGATATTATAGAAGCTGTAAGTCGTTAGTAAACTAGTTTTCTAAGTGTGTTCAGTAAAGAGATTTACTGATTATTCCATTTCTCTTTATTTTTCATAATTTCAAAAAGCAAAATTTGTGTAAAAAAAAAAAGCTGTCTTATGAGATTATAAGGGAGTACACATTTGTAGTGTGTTTCTGAGCTGTTCAATAATTAAAATTGTGTTATCTGCTAAATCAGGTTCCTTATGTCAGCTTCTCTTAACTGAAATATATTTTAGCTGTGTCTTAAATGTCTGTTGTAAAACATTAAAATATGCATAATATAATGATGATATTTTCCAATGTGTCCCTCTCCCGACATAAAGCACTTAAAATTGAAGAATTACAAGAAGCTTTACGGAAGAAGGAGGAGGAAATGAAACAAATGGAAGAACGATACAAAAAGTATTTGGAAAAGGCCAAAAGTGTAAGTCAATGTGTTTCATGTTAATCATCCTGCTCTGACAGACTGCATTCCATGTGCACTTTGTGGGAATAAAAATAAAGGAGTTATCTGTATACACACTACTAACAAGTAAAAGAGAAGGAAGGTCCAGTGAATTCTTTGTATCTTCTTATTGTTACAGTACCTAATATGGATTAATTCTGCAGAAGATTTTACCCCATTTTTGTGACTTTTATTGATGCTTTTTCCGAGTAAAGTGATCTTTTTAACTATACCACCTTTTCATAGCTGTTACATTCAACTGATGATGTTCAGCATTCCCTTTGCCTTTATCTAATACATGCTTCTGTCGAGAAGGTGACTAATATTTAAGTATGATATTGAGGGTGTGGGTACACTACCAGCTTTGAAATGACAATATTGTGTTCTTAATCATAGTCACATTCCTTCTCTTACTATACTTTGATATTTTGTTTGAGTTTCTCAAAAACATATCAGTGTCTTTGTTCATCTGACCATGGTGTGGTATCATTTGCATTGGATACGTGTCATTACATTGGAATCTGCAAGTAGGTTCCTAATTTGGCAAAATTTAATCATGTCTTCCTTTACTTCTGTGTAGTTTCCTGAATGACTTCTTGTGAGATGTTTCAAAAGTCTTCAGGAAATCTGAGCAAATAATTTTTTTTCAATTTTAACTTTTTGTAATCTTTTTGTCAAAAAAAAAAATATTTTTTTTTCCATTTCTTATTGTTGTTATTGTTGGTTTCTGGTGGGGGTTTTTTGTGAAGATCAGTAGAGTCATTATACTCTTCCACTATACAAAGTGCATTCAGGTCTAGCATGTATTTTCTTAGAAAAATAGCATGCTTTTATAGAATCATAGAATCATTAAGGTTGGAAAAGACATCCAAGATCATAGAGTCCATCCTTTGACTCATCACCACCTTGTCAACTAGACCATGGCACCAAGTGCCAGGTCCAGTTGCTTCTTGAACACCTCCAGGGATGGTGACTCCACCACCTCCCCGGGCAGTCTGTTCCAATGTTTAACAACTCTTTCCATGAAGAAATTCCTCAGATGTTCTAATGCATCATGGTTAATGAGAGAAGTAGATGTGTTTTAAGTCACATTTTTGTTTCTTAACCTGACTTAAAAGGTCCTTAATCCTTAACAAGATTGCTTTTTCAGGATTTAGTGAAAGACAAACTGGTTTTCTTTTACAGGTCATCCGCACATTGGATCCTAAACAGAACCAGGGTGCTGCTCCTGAGATTCAGGCACTGAAAAATCAGTTGCAGGAGCGGGACAGAATGTTTCATTCTCTGGAGGTAGTAATCCTTGTGTTTTGTGGCAGATGATCATTGTTTTTTAGTTAGAGACTTAACACTTTTATTATACTTTGTTTTTAAATCTATGCTTTTTTTATGTTTTATAGAAAGAATATGAGAAAACAAAAAGTCAAAGAGAAATGGAGGAAAAATTTATCGTTAGTGCCTGGTACAATATGGTAAGAATCTACCAAACTTTTTATTTGAAAAAAAAAAAAAAAAGAGGAAAGAAGATGTTAATATTAGTTGTTTATGGCTTGTTTTTAACAGTATTCATTCATTGACAGTAATTTTGGTTGGAAGGCATTTTCCAACACACAAACGCAGAAACAAATACTTTTTAGTAATTTTAAGCTATCACTGTATAAAAGTATGTTCCTGTGATAACCTTGGGGTAAATTAAAAGGAACATGCTTGTAATTTTCAAGTTTTAAAATCAGAAATGGCTCAGATCAGTGTTCTGTAATCCCAGACCTTCAATTACACAAAATTACAGTGCTCAAATTTATTTTCTTCTTTGATTCTTTGCTGTTTTTAATGAAGGGGCACTATCAAAGCAGTTCAGCTTACTTGCTGCAGTAAGTGCTCTGAAAAATGACCCATTTAACTTCAGAGCAAGTTTGACCACATACAGATGCTGAGGACAGCAGCAAGACTCTCACCTAAATTATTCAAACAGTAAATCTGAATAGAAGAGGTGACCTGTGCAGCCATACAGCTTTTGCTAGGCCTGTATGCTGGGAGAGTTGTCACCTTCATCAAATGTGTTCAAGACTTCCCTTTGGCATACTTGTTGCATTGAAACTGTTCTTCATATAGAAAGACTCCTTAACCTGTGTAACTTCCATGTTTTGTTCTGCTCCACCATAAAATTCAAATTCCTCCTCTCTGTATTCCCTTGGAAGAGTTTCCTTTTTGCTGTTCTGCATCTTTGTTACGTCCATGAATGGCAAGCCCAAAAGCAGAGTGCTTGAATTGTTTACATACTTGAAGGCATGTTCAGGTGACTAGTGTCCTTGACCAGTTTTATAACCTTAGTCCCACTGACAAGCAGGAGACAAGCCTGAGCTAAGACCTGCAGTTCAGTGACCTGTCATGAACACTGAGATGATCTCTGATAGCTTTGTCTGTGTCAAGCCTTTAATTAGCCTCTGCTTTTATACACAACTGCACAAGCCATCACAGCTTTCCTACTTGCATTTATGCCTCAGGAAAACATACTGTCTCTCAAGATGTGCTCCTGACATATGAGCTGATACTTTCAAAGGAGACCATGATACCTAAACCATTTTCAGAGGAAAATTACTTTTGTAGCTCAACATGCTAAACAAGCCGGGGTTGGGGGGAGCCCTTTTGAAAAGAATTGTCTGGTTGCCATGAGTTTATGTGGAGAACCATATCTTGAGATCTTAGACAATTGCTCTAAACCTGGACAGCAATTGGGGTGGCGAGGGGAAAGAACTCCACACTAAGTGTTAGGGGAGAATATGTTACCTTTATCCTTGACAATGTGGTGCTTTGTGTATGGAATTCAAGGTGGTCAGGGTTGGTGAAGAAGAAGATAATAAACAAAATGCAAATGATTAAAGTTGTTCAGTGTTATGTATTGGTATTCACTGAGAAGTTTCTCTTTGTCCATAGGGGATGACTCTGCACAAAAAAGCAGCAGAAGATAGACTGGCTAGTACAGGCTCAGGACAGTCCTTCCTGGCTAGACAAAGGCAAGCCACGAGCACAAGGAGATCTTACCCTGGCCATGTTCAGCCAGCAACAGCAAGGTAGAGAAGCCTTGCCTTTAGAAAGAAAACTGCCCTGTGATCCAGGCCACTTCTGTTGCAAGTGACAACATTCAAGGAAAATAAACCAGCATCCTTTCTCTTTCTCCCTTGTTACTGCTATTATTTTACAGTTCAGGAAAGGGTTTTATTATGGTTTCTCATTGTTCTGTAATGCCCTTTGCTTATATTTTTGAAGTCCATTTCTTTCTCTCTCTCTCTCTCTCTGCATTTTTTGAATGTGCCAAAATTTTAAAACCATCTAGAGGAGTGCTGTATCATAACAGTCTTATTTGTATGAAGCCTGGTCTCTTATGAAAAGCCTTATGTGGACCATGTAACAATGTAGATTTCTTGTCACAGTTGGTACTTTTGTGCCATAAGGGTTGCTATGCTTTATATAAGACTGTTCTTGTTCAAAGGGAATTAGGCTTTTTATTTCATGTGCTAACCCGTTGCTTCAGAAAAATGCTGAAATCTCATTACAGAAATGCAAAATTAGAATATAATGTTATTGTGAAATATATTTCCTGCTGCAAAACTTACCAATGCAAAAAAGAATGATTTTTTTTTTTTAAATCTCCTACATGCGAAGTTTGTTCTTATTCTTGGCATTTGATAGGGAAGCAGGATGATTTTTTTCAGGTTTTTCTTTATCAACTGGTGTTACCTCTTTTGCTCGTAGAGATGAATATTTTCAAATGGTTTGTTCCACTCTTCTTGGTCAAGTGTACACTTAAATACATATTCTAAAAAAGTGGAGAAATATTTGGAATGCTCTAATACACTACTGCATCATCCATTTAAAAAGGACATTTGTTTTAAATTTTATAATTATGGATGAGCAACACATAATGAATCAAGGCCCCGATTAATATTGTTAATGTATTCCAGTTGTCATCCCCTACTAAAATGCTTGCTTTTAATATATTGATTCTGGGGATAATTGTATCAGTTGCCTTACTAATGGTACCAGTGCCTTCAGGTGAGTTTGTTGCTGACTTTGTTGGAAACTGGCTGTGATTTGTTGTACTGCCTTTTGAGTATGTAGCTTCTTAATTGTTGTAGTACCTTCATATTCATCAGTGGGGTGGATGGAGGTTCCTCCTATTTAGGTTCTGTTCCTACCAAGTTGTGCTTTTTCTCCTGACTAATTCTCTGCATTCCCTATCATTTTTGTTGAAGAATTTTTGGACACAGAGAACCTGAATATTGGTTGAAACTTCCATATACATACATCTTGTTGTAATTTAGTTTTAAATAGTTTTCATTTAGAGACTGTTTGGACCCTGATGCACATGCAGTTGGTTTATAAATTTATTCTTTTACTTTATTTTAATACCCTCCCAAGTGAAGACATTTTGTTATAAATCCCTTTAGAGAAAATACATAGTAGCATTTATTAATCATCTGAATGTCTATGTTAATTCACAAGTTGGGTAGAATGAGCAAAGGATAATTAAAACAAGCACACCTAGATTAAAGGGTAATAAAGAGATGAATGACATTTTTAGGTACTGCTGTTTTATTCTCAAGTACGTGATCTGCTTTAGTCTAGGCTAAGAAATACATTCAGTATGTGTCTGAAAATAATTTTCAGTTCTGATTATCCACTGCCCCCCAAAACCAGAAAGTGAATTCTATTGATTGAATGTAGCTTTACTCCTCACATTTGGAAAAAGACAGTTTTCTGAAAGTTCTCTGTACTTAGTCAGGGTATGACAGGTCTGGGCTGTGGTTGCAAGGATTAGGTAAGACATTGCAAAGTTTCTTGTGTGCAGGAAGGTAACAATGTGAAGGAAGTTGAGGACAATTTCTGTAGCTCAGTGAGGTGATACTCATTTTGCTGTCTCTTACTGAGGTACAGAATGCTGTGTGTGTGTTATCTGGCAAGATGACTACAGTTTTTGTGGGACATCTTTCATTGATCTTGTTGTGAAATGTATTCTAGTAGTTTGAAGAACTGTTTGCCACATGCTGTGTGTGAACAGGAGCAAGTAAGATCAGTTGATGTTCTTGTTTGAGATTACAGCATTTTATATCAGAGAAAGAACCTAAGAATACCTAAAGCTTCCTTTTTATTTTAATCTGTCTGGCTTTTTCTGTTACTAAACTGCCAAAGGGTATTTGTGAAAGAAAGGAATGTGACCTTAACGGGAAGCTTCATCTCTTAATTTTGTGTCAAAATTTAATTCCCCATTGCTGTTAATCAGGCACAGGTCTAAAATAACTAGGACATGGTCTGCAAACTAGAATACAACTAGTTGCTTTTATTTTGTTAACACTTGTTTTACCATTTTGCCTCCAAAGTTTGGATGATTAGTTAGGAGATGAACAAATGCTGGTTAGAGGCCTTGTCTTTTGCTTTTACTTTCCAATCTCTCATGGCTTCTTTTGCTTCTTGGTAGTTTTTGGCTTTTCTCTTCTGCTTTGTGATTCTGCCTTTCCTTTTCCCTCAAGACACTGAAGTGTTTTCTGTAGTTCCCTTCAAGCATATAGCATCATTATGTAGCATCAAAGAGCAAAACAAAACTAATATTGAATCTAAACTTTCCTGTTGCCCACAGTGATTTTTGGGCAAGTGAACAATCTTTGAGAATTTACAAACCTGCAGAAATTCTGGTATTTCCCAGAATTTTTGTTGAATATAAAAACCTAAAAATGTACTGCACTCTTACAGAAATATACTTGATTGCTGTCCAGTTCCAGTAAGTAATTTGTTCTGCATTAGGGAATTTAATTCCTTATTCTTTAACATTTTAATTCTGTTACTTGCTGCATACATCCATTGTTAATCTTTGGGTGTGGATGAATGCAAGTGGTAAACATCATTAAACCTCCTCTTTCACAAGAACAGCTTCTTTATTCAAAGAGTTCAAGCTTCATTATTTTCCTTGCTTGTTATGTAGCTTTGGAAGTAGTGTGGTATTAGGAAAAAGAAGAAGCTCGGAGTGTAACTCCAGGGAATAAACACATATATAGGTGAGCCACCAGTGAATGTTCTTTATTTGTCTTGTCTTCAGTAATAAAAGAATATAAGCAATAAACCCAAGCTATAAAACAGAATTCTCTCATTACATTGGATAGTTCCAGAAAGTTTTTAGGGATACTTTTTTCCTGAGGCAATAAAGACTGTTTACATCAAAATTGTTGTGGTAACTGCTAAAGCAATGCTATATCCTGTCCTGATACACTACAGAAAAAAAACAAACCTACAACTGAGCTTGAAGAGAAAAGGTTCTAGGGCAGTGATGAAACAGCTGAGGAGTTCATGAGAGGACTTTGCTGAGCGCTGTGCTGAGGGTCTGCCCAGAGTAATCTTTCTGACAGATTTTAATTAATGCCAATAAAAGTTAACAGATAAATGGATGAATATTTTCATTGTTCAGAGCTGAAGCTTAGTTTCTGATCTTGAAGAATATCTGTGCAGTCCAGTTTGTATACTTCTGTGGGGAGTTAAGTTGTTAGCATATCCAATCAGGCATTACAGAAAAAAAAATACTCAAGTTCCTTTTCTTGATAGCAACACATAGCCACTTGGATCATAACACATATTTTCTAAGTGCTAGGAAAACTGAAGTAATCTAATTTAAAGGTTGTGTGTTCCACCCACAGTGTAAGGGAAAGAAATGTCTGGAGCACAGAGCTTTACACATTGCAAAATGAAATAAATATGTAGTGGCTACAGGATGCCTTTCATTCTGTCTTTGAAAATAAGCAAATGCTAGTCTTGTCCTGTTCCAGTGTCACCCGAGTTAGCAGTAATGCTTCTGCAAGTTTTCTGTGGCTTTCTGTTCTGTAAGGGGCACTGGCAATTTTATAATCATTGTGTATGAAAGAATTAACAGTGAATATTCCTATTACTGCTTTATGATGATCTTAAATAGTTTTAAGTGGTATGTGCAAGCTGTCAAGAAAATTTAAAAGGATTTGGCAGTTTTAAAGTCCTTGGTATTTTGGCATATGCAGGTAGCTCTTGCTTTTCCTCGGTTCTCTAGTATATTAGACTATACACTTAAAAACATGTAATCATCCTTTCATGGATGATTTTTAGGGGTTTAATTGTCCTGATGTGTTGACATTTTTTTGTAGATTTGGTAGTTGAAAAACATTTTGGTGTCACCATTTGATTTCCTTCCTATTAGTGATTTGGAGGAAGACTGTCCTGAATGTGGCTAACTTTTCTTTTTATTATGAAGCAAAACAGGATCTGAATTTTACTTATTGTATAGGGATTTTTATTTTTTTTTGTTCTTGACCAACATTTTGACTTCTTGCAAGGATTGATGAGGGAGGTATTTTTGCACTCAAAGTCAGCTATGCAGTACTGACTTCTTATGGGTTTTTGCACACGTGTTTTAGGTAGAATGTGGACTCTGTGTTTTGCATTAATATTGTGTGAATAGCTTCAATATCTCCAAACCAATTTTAGCAAATTTTGCAGGTGTTTTCCTCAACTGTTATTGCATAAATAAATAGCTAAAAAAGTTTACTATGTCAGAATATACTTTCAAGTCATGGGGTTTTTTTTTTGGAGCAGCCTTGAGACTCTAGGTAGGATCCCAACCATGCCTCCAGTTTGTCACTTTTAAGAAATCAGAAAAATATCTTGGCATGAATGATGTGCATTGCCTTACTCCTGTGATATTTCTTCCTTCTGGAAGTCTGGAAAAGTAGCAGAAGCTTGTCAGTGACCCTGCAGGCTATTACTGAAAATAAGGTGTGATTTTTTTCAGTTTGAAAATGGAGGAGACAGATGCAAGCAACTGTTCAGTACAAAAATGGGAAGAGCAGTGTATCTTTCACCATTTTGCATTTTGGTGTTAATTTTAAAAGTAATGAGAAAGAACCTTTGCTTTTTGAGCTAGGTTTTTCTCCTTTTTTTTTTTTAATTAATTTTTAATTTTAACTGATTATTTAATTTTAACTGATTACTTAATCAGGGCAGAAACTGTCATTGCCAGCCAGATCAACCTCAGACTTCTTGCATCTGGTACAGTGAAACCCTGGAAATTCTGACTCTGCTGCCAGCTCCACTGTACCATTTGGAATTGTTGAGGACTTAGCTTTGTCCCCTGTTTTATCTTGACTTTATTTTTGTGGATTCATTAAAATATTGGGACATAAAGTTCATTTTTAAAACGTATCAGCTCATTGAATTAGGTAATGAATGAGTGTTGATTGAGGGGCTTTAGAAAACTTGACAAATCCCATGGTGCAGCAATATAGCCAAGCCAGTTTTCCAGACAAATTGTCCTGGTGTCAGATTATAGTCAGTGGATCAACAGGAACTCACACTAACTGCTACAGCTGAAGTCCTCATCTATTAGTTGCTGGGGGATGGTGTTGGTGTCAACTTCACTGAGGCCCAGACTGTAACCTTCACCTTTGGGCCTTACCAAGGTAGTGAAGGACTATCTTGAAATATATCTCTGTATTAGTTGGCTCTGGTGGCAAATCAGGAATTTCCTCTGCTGCTGTTTGCTGTGTGTGTGAAGTCATTTGGAAAATTAAATATCCTTCAATCCCCTTTACACTATGTGCCAGTTCCAGACTGGAAGCAGATTCCATTTGTCGGATAAAAATTTCTTGCTCCTGTTCTGCTGACTTGGATCTCAGAGACTGATCCATACAACATGAAAAATATTGTTAGTAGAGGGAAATCTAGGACAATTGGGAAGCCTCTCCTTTCTGGTGGTGACTTTATTCATTGTTTTGCATTAGAGAGGTCCTAATGCAAAGGGCTGAAGTTAGAATAGCATATTTCAGAAGGAGGAAGGTGCTTGTTTTAGTCGTTACAAAAGCAGTCATTTGCCAACACTTTGAGGAACTGTTAACCTACCATAGCATGGCACAAACCAGAAACACTGCAAAAGCAAGGGTTTCCCCAGGTAAACAGCAGTTTGTTATCCAAAAGGAACTTGAATCCCCAATGATTATACCTGCCTTAAAGGCCAGTTGTTCTGTTGCCCTGCTCGTGCTGTTAGACTGATCATGAAAATGAGCAGGATTTTAAGAGAAAAATACCAAATGATGTAATATTTATGGGGCTATAAAATAGTCGTAATGAGACCATCAGATTTTTTTATTTGGATTTGAATGTAACATCAATTATGTAATTTGAAATTTTGTAAAGCAAGAGATTATTATTTTCAGTCACCAAAGGTTAGTAAGCCAGAGAATAAACTTATTTCCTGGAGCCATCGGTGGTTTTGAGAGAGATTTTAAAGCTTTTATTTAGAGGTATAGGTAAAGTTTGGGAGTAGTTATAAGGATTACATTATAAAGCCACAATTTTTAAAATTTGTAGTCTGCTTTCTATTCTCTCTGTCATTCCTCCATAGACACACATTATCTGCTGTATAAACTCTCTCTTTCTGAAGATGCTGGAGATGCAGGGACAGGTTATACTCAGTGAATTTACCCTCACATCTTGCATCTCTCTTGTCTTCTGAAGTGTTGCTGCCTCGACAGGTAGCTTTAAAATAGAGAGAAAGAAGTTGACAGCCAACTTTTTTTTTTTTAGAACAAGATTAGAATTTTTAGTCAGGAAAGGGCACTGACAGATGACTTTTTTACATCCTTGAAAGATAATACAGTGTCCTGAGTTTACAAGACCTCTCAAAAGTACTATTTACTCGAAGAGAAATCTCCAGTGTCACTTCCTGTGTGCAACAGGACACTTGAAGTGCTACTAAATAGTGAGTCTGAACTAAATAATAGCCAGGTGAGACTAAAGGAGTAGATTATATTCATTTATGCACAATAGAATAGGTACCTGCTTACGTAGCTTGAACTTATAATTTTTTATAGAACAACTACAGTGATCTTCATATTATTAATCCTGAACTCTGTAACTTTATGCACCCAAGCAGTGCCAGGCAAGCTTAACAGACAGTGATTGCTCAAAATACACCCTCAAGGTCTGCTTTGAATGTGTTAATTTTTTATTCCATTTGATACGTGTTTCTATGTTTCTGTTTGTTTTTCGTCCATAGTTAGTGTTCTGGGTGGATGAATGAGAAGGGAAAAAAGAGGGATACACAAGCTGCAGGACTTGTAGCAGCTTTGTCATAAATATTCTTTCTTCTCTATTTAACCTGGACTTTCCCATCACAAGAAGCATTCTTAGAATCATTTATGACCAGTGCAATACAAGGGAGAGAAGGAACTGAGGAGAGAAACGGGCTCTGACTTCAGTCTGGAGAAGCCAGTTTGCTCTTTGCAATGCAAAGACCCAAATGCCCATTTAGTGCTGTGCCAATGCTGTGTAGGGACATCTGTACCCTGGGGAAGCTGAAAGCACCATGGCTGTGTCAGTAAAGCAGTCCATTCTGGTCACAATGCCCAAGAAAGAGGGTGCATCAGTAAGGATGGAGAAACATGTCAGCCTCTCCAGTTCTCCTCCGAACTTCTGCAGCATTGTGATGTGCTCTTTGGACTGCTCAGTGGCTCCTACTCAGCTTTACTTTAACAAGAGTACATATCATTTTCTTGCAATTCCAACCTGTATTTGCCTGCAGTAAACAGAACTTGCCAGTGCAGCACAGCAGTGATGCTGAGTTGTAGCCTCATGCACCAGATGAGCTCTGATGAAACATAAATGCCCAAAGTCTTTAGTGGTGCTCAGAGTTGGAAGACTCAGACAGTCATTGTGACCCTGATTGTCTTTTCATAAGTAACCACATGCAGTGTTGGACAGGCACCTTTCACTTTATATTGCTTTGGTTCTTTAACTGTTGTACTCACAGACAGCAGGAATGCCTGAGACTTTCTCATTGCTGTATAAACCTAGTTTCCATAGCTGTAGTAGCTGAGAATGGTGCCCTGAAGGACTTTACTCAGAAGTGTTTAAATTTGTCTGAATTACAGCTAAATTTAGATATTGCTCAAGGCTGTTTTGTTGCTTTTTCCAGTTATTGGCCTGTAACCTTCCTGTTAATTTGAAGAGTTGCTTTGGCAAAAATGTTTTCCCATGAATTTGCACCACTCTTGAGACAGCCTTACTAAACTGTTCTGAAAAATACCTGTTCTATTCTCTGTTGTTTTTTTTTTTTTTCAACAGTAATATGTTATCTGCTTTTTAACTTTCTTCTTTATTCTTTTATTTGCAGTGATGTGGTTGCATGACCTGCAGCATTATTATAACAGGGACTGTTCAGTGCATGACTTGCTTTTCTGTCCAGACTGCATAACCAAAACTTAACCAGTTCTACACTTAAGACTCATGGCCATCCGATTTCAAAGGGGGATCTACTTGCAGAGAAGCTTACCATCCTGGGAAGTGGCTTTCCCATTTCCCGCTTCCATTTACTCTTTCTCTTCACAAAAGGTCTCCTATGAGGCTAGAAGAGAGGAAATCCAGTATTCACAACTCAACAGGAGGCATTCTGCAAACTGACAGGGCACTGTCAGCTCTCCATCTTATTTCCGCCTGTCCACTTTATTTAATTCTGATTAACAGTATTAACACACAGACTTCCTGCAACATTTTCATATACTGAACTATAAAAATCTAGTCTTAATGAGTTCCTAAAAAGGCCTTTTGGTTACTGTTAAAATTTCAAAGCACCTGCACCCTTAAAGGATCCACTTTGAATCTTTAAATAAATAAAGTAAAGCGAAGGAGGTGTTTTACCAGGAGAAATGACTAATGAGTTGCTGCTTGGCGATCCCATCTTCCTTAGAAAACCAAGCAAGTTTCATCTGATAATCTCCGAGCCAGTCAAACTACCGGGTGGTATTTTGTTCACAGGCACTGCCTGCTTCCTTAATATGTATATACACAGTAGTTTGTGGCTGTTGTATTTTTCTCTCTACATTGAGCTGTATTGTTCGTTTATATCAGAAACTTTTTTTTTTTTTCCAATCTGTGTACAATTGTTAAAACAATCTGAGGAAAGAACATGAATGGAGAACAAGTATGAAAGTCATCTACACTTTCATATTATGCAGACTGTCCTTGCCAGTTTATAATTTGGGTCGTTTGTCTTTCACCTGTACTGGTTTTTTTCCTTTCCTTTTTTTTTTTCTCCTATCACAGTCTTAGCTATTTAATTTCCAATTGCACTAGCTTGGCTTTTCTTTGTATTATGAAGTTTAGCTATAAGATTTGCCATATGTAGACAGTGTAACTCAAAATGCTTTGTACTGCCTATATTAATTTAAAAAGCTGCTTATTTAATATTCTTAAAGATCTGCACATTTGTACTACTGTATCTTTGTTTTGTATTGGACATCCAGTACTGGCAAGATTCAGAAGACGAGGGAGTGCTGTAGTGTTGTAAGTTAAGAGGTTTATTGTATAGAAGTTAGTACATAACAAACAGGGAAAGGGGCTTTCAAGCCGTAGGACTTGCTGGAAAATCTGAAAAGAGTGAATGCTGAGAACGTTAAGTCCAGTTCTAGGGAAACCCCATTCTTGTTCACCTGGATCTTAATCTGCAGAAACACAAGCATGATGTGTACTCTGCTGCCTCCAGGAATGGTTTTGCTTATTTAGGCGGTAGCAGAACCACCAGCCCTGTTTTCCAGGCTGAGGAAGTGTTGTGTCCACTCGTCTCTGCAGTCCCTTCTGGTCACAAACTCAGTGCCTGCCTCATCCCTGGCCTGTCGAACAGGGCTCTGGACAGAGCTGCAGCTTGTGCGCCGAGACAGCTGCCTGTGCTCAGTCCTCAGGGATCCTGATCCCACAGAGTCAGTGGGCTCGTGCTGGATGATGTGGAGGAAGGACAGACTGTGTGCCCCCCCAGAGGGGCTGTGGTTGGTGCTGCCTGGCAAAGGGAAGGGCAGGTAGGAATGGGCTCCAAGCAGACCAGGCAGGGCAGCCAAGGATAAGCATTAAGATCCCAGTGAGAACTGTGTGGTGTTTTCCCTTCTGAATGCCATACCTGACAGGTGAGCCTGTGGCTACCAGGTGCTCTGGCTGGCAGCTGTCCGTAGAGACTTCAGATGGGGATATGTCTTTCCTGGTCCACCAGGGCCAGGGACAGTGAAGTCTGACGTGACCTGCAGCCAGGATCTGGGGTTTGGTGATAACGAGTCAGCTGTTCCTACAGCAGAGGCAGCAGCATTTCATCAGACTGAGTCAGCAGGTTTGTGTCCTTCCAGGTCCTAGCCATTGATCCCTTGTTATGTGTCAGGGCAAGCATTACTAGTAAAACTTCTTTTAGTTGGGTGTTAAAGGCATGGTATGTTTTTCATTTGCAAGTGCTGCTCCGGCTGGGACCACACCCTGCCCCAAGCCAGGCTGGGTGCAGGATCCCTGAAATCAGGGCTCTGTGCTGGGCGGGAGGGGATGCTTTTTTTTGTGCACCCGCCTGCACAGGTGTCCCAATGTGAAGCCGAGCAGTACCTCATTTCTCCAAGTGGTCTGTGCAGATTAGAGACTAAATATCAGTTGTTCTTGAGCCTTGATGACATTTGTATGTAAGTGTGTTTAGCTTGACAAAAGTTGTTTTGAGTTTACTAATGCAACAGAGAGATGTCAGGTGAAGCCAGTAACTTTCAGCAAGGAGCTGGCTACTTTAATTAGATTAGCCTGGCATCTCTGTCATGAAGTGGTTGCAAGCTCTCAACTCAGAGGTGATCTCCAGCATGTCTCTGATTACTAACTTCATTTGTGCTGCATAGAAAACTCTCTTACCTTCTTAATAGCGGCTTGTTTGACAGTCCTGAATTAAATGTTGACCAATTATCAAAGTAACTGTTTGTGAAGTTGCCAGTGATATATTTTCTGTAAAAAAATGGATTCGTAGAGTGTCAAAACATTAATTTCCCATTTGAGTTCATCAACAAATTGTGTAACTACCAGATTGTCATGGTAGCAGTATTGATATACATACCTGTATATAGACAAAAAAAATACTCAGTAATGATAATTGGAATCAAAAGGTTTAATATTTTTTCCCAGTCAAATACACTAATGCTTCAAAGGTGATAGAAGAGTGTACAGTTGTTAAACAAGTTGTAAATAAACGCTTATATAAAATGTAAATGCTTATTTGTCCTTTATTTGGTACTTGATTGTAAACTAGACTAGTGCACAGTTTGTGTTAGAAGTTACTGGTTTGAGCGTAAAGTGCTGTTCTGCTGTGTGAGATGACACCAGCTGGTGGTTAACAGGGACCCCAGTGGAGTGGGAATAACATGGATAAAACAAAACTCAGTGCACTCATTAGTAGGTACTACAGAACAGCTGGGGAAAAAAATCAGACATTTTTACAAAGCACAGCTCTACCTGGGCAGCTTTGGTGCCAGCTCGTCTGAGTCTTACACAGAGAAGTGGCATCATGGAAATGCATTTCCTGGGGCTCTGCAGAGGAAGGTGAGGGGAAGGTGGGCAGCAGCCTCAGAAACAACAAACCTCCTGACTTTTGCTGGGAAGCATCCCACCTGGCTGCTGAGGTGCACAGCGTAGTTTGCCTCTCAAAGGGCCAAAGCTAAGTGACCAAAATAGACAATTTTCCTGTGCCAATGGAAGCTTCACAACAGGTGTAGCTAAAGGGGGGGGGGGGAAGACATTGCTCATGTGGACAGAAACAACTGTCCTTCCTTTCTGCACTGTGAGCAGCTCTGGCATCTGGGGGAGGAGGAGGTGGTGGTCTCAGACACGGGCAAACGTTGATCTTTGTGAAAGAAAAGGCAACAGTCACCAAGAGATACTGAGCCCACGAGTGTTGTGGTGCAAAGGCCCTGACAGAGCCCTTCAGGGGCTGCTCTGTAGAAGGAAGAGGAGAGCAGAAGCATGAGGGTGCCCTGGTGGCAGCAGCAGTAACAGGAGAGCAGAGGCTCAGGGTGGGCCCAGTTTGCTGGCTGGGAAGGGCAGGAAAGCCCCAGGGCTGGTGGCCAGCTTCTCCTGGGCCACAGGGATGGTAGAGGCAGGAAGCTGCCACAGCCTCACTTCTGCCTGCCAGGGATTCACTCTGGTCCTCTGCCCTCCTCCGTCCCTCCCCAGTCACTCCTCTTCATCTTGGGCATGACTGTAGTGTCTCCTGCCTCTGACCCCCATTCCCTCTGCCTGTCCTGTTGTTTCCCACACTGTCAACTTCTCCTAACTTTTCCTATACATTTTTTTCCCTTCCCAGCTCCCCCACCCCCCAGTGTGCCGAGACCCACATCAGCATCCCTTGTTCTGGCCTCCCCTCCTCATCAACTCCCACAAGGCCAGCACTGCCTCCCTTATTTTTCACATGGTATGGGGGGAACTGAGGCCCGCTCACCTTCATCCTACCCCTCCACTGTTGCTGGCCCAGCAGGGAGGATGCAGCAGTGCAGGTCATCTTCCAAATGGCACCTCTCCTGCACACCCCACAGCTGCAGGGCCCTGCTTTTACCACCACATCCTAAGTGTGCTTATCCTTGTGTTGTGTTGGATATTGCAGGAGGCAAAGGGCCACTGCTGTGTTAAAGGTTGTGTGGTGGAAGCACACTCCAGAAGCTGCATGGTTCCCCCCTACCGTTCTCCTTTTCCATTTTTATCCATGAGTAACTTTTGAACACCTGTGCTGGACGTGTAAGTACCTGCAAATAAATCTTTGTGCAGAGGCCAGCACGTTTGTACCCGCTGTGTTTGGAAGGCAGGAGCCAGCAGCAAGCTTGGAGGAAGGGCTGTATGAGACTGGCTGCAAGGACTGCAGGGCTGCCAAGGAGGGGAGGGCATGGTCACTCTGCCTCCAGCACAGGACACAGCACTGCAGGGGGGGTTCCACCAGTGCTGGGCATCCGTACTTCGCTCCTGTTCCTTAGGAGCTGAAACGAAACAACAGCCTCAAAACAGCAAAGTGTCCTTCTGACAAAGCAGGCAGACCAGAAGTGAAGGTCAGCTACATCAGGGAAAAGATTCAGTGATGTAACTGGAAAACTCTTCACATGCTGAAGGTACCCAGAGCTTTCCTGGTTTAGGTCTTCCGAGAGCCCCAGGAGCCAGTGGCACCTGTCTGCCTCCAGGGCCTTCTGACTGGTGGCATGGAATTGCCTTTGCTCCTTTACAACAGACACGTCTCACCTGCAGGTGTGCACACATCTGGATGTTTGGTTTCTGTGCCAAGCTGCGCTGTCAACAAGCTAACAGGGAGCACAACTCCGTGCTGAGAAGGGAGGTCTTGCAAACCCACCCTGAGCTAAGGGCAGAGAAGGGAACCTCCCAACTTCCCTGAACACAACCAGCCCCCCCACCCTCTCACAGTCCCAGGAAACTGATGAAGGCAGTCACCACAACCCCAAGTAAAACGTGAGGTGGATGCAAGCTAAAATGCATTTTCACTATCACACGTGATGTCTTTCTCTGGCTTTGACCCAAACAGAAAAAAAAACCCACCAGACCTCTGATTAAAACAGATCACAGGATACAAAAACGGACCAGAGCGATATTCCAAACAGCTTTTCACACTTGTTCCCACCTTCAACACCCTTGTTCCAATCCCTTCAACTGTTATGAAGTATTGGAATGACTGTATGCCCTTCTGTCTGCCCCAGAGAAGGCTCTTTGGCAGTCCTTACCAGCCGGAGGCTGCGCTGGAATGAAGGCTGGCACGGGCTCTGCTGACAGTGCAGCTCTGGTGTCCCACCAGCAGCTGGGGGTGCCCTGGGGGTGCCTCTGCCCGCTCAGTGCACGGGCACAACTCCAGGCCCAGCACACCCCCTGTGAGCAGCTCGGGACCCGCCCGTGGTGCTGCACATCCTGCCCACGGGCAGTCAGGCTCCCCTTGGCTCGTCAGTAACACTGCCTGTTCCCAGGAATTTCTGCTGCCTAACAAACTGTTTTCTAGCTGGTAGCCTGGGAAACTCATTTTTGTCTGAATCACAGCAGAGTGAAACAATACTATTGTTACTGGACTTTTGAGGAAAATTATTGACCTGGACTGAGGCCAGGATGGAAACTGATGGATGACTAAAGCCAAGCATTTTGAAACCCTATGAACAGGGATCCCAAATGAGGCCCTTTGAAGTCCCCTGGGCCACAGTGGCTGTGCCAGCACCTCTCTTGGAGCAGGATGCCTCTCGGAACTCATCGACCCACAGGTCTGAGAGCTCAGAGACCGTCATTGAAAACTGACAATGGGGCCTGGGTTGGTACCCCCTGCCCAAGGCTCAACCCTTTGCCCATGGAGAAATGCAAAAGGCATTCAACGGTATTTCACTGAACTCAGGGGGAATTTTTAAGAGGTACCTTTGTACACACACACACACACACACACACACACACACACAGGTGCAAACATCCACGTCTGCGTGTGTGTGAATCCATTTCAGTGCCCTACAGCAAGTGTAGCATCAACGCTGTCATCTTAGAGTCATAATTAAGCTACTCTTTTGCTTGTAGTAAATCCTATTGAGTCATTCTGTGAGTGTTAAATTACTCAGTGATTAAGTGCTGCCAAATCCTTTAGGTGTAAACCACTGAGCAATTCCAAGGCTAAGTTTGGCAAGGGGGCTCACTCTGAACCTCCAGACTCAAAGGGAGCGCATTCTCCATCCTTACCCTTTTGCATCCCCTGTCTCTGTGTACATTGTTCCAGTTTGACTCCAATAAAACTCTCCTTTGTGTTTCTATCTGCGTAGTAACAGAGTGAACGTGGCCACAGAACTTTTTTTGTATCAAAATTGCTTTTGCTGGTACCTTTGCCAGTGATTCTTTAAGTGACCTTAATCACCCCTTCACAATACAGGTTTCACTGCACCCAAGAACTGTGCAAATGCCAAGTACTAAGGCTCCCTTTTCTGGAAGGGTGGTGTCCATGTTGTGTACTGGGAAGTAGTTTGGGGGTTGTTTTTTCTGCCCCCTCACGTGGAAGAATAACCAACCCTCTACACGAGTCTGCTGCAAAGCTGCTGCTGGCTGTTTTCACTGCAGCCCAAAGCACCCTGAAAATAAATGTTTTGGAAATACCCCCCAAATACTAGCCTGACAAAGCTTACTCTGAGAAGGAAACACACTTCCCCGCAAATAGGAATTGGCAGACTACTCAAATAAATACCTTCCAAGTAGTCATTTTGTATTATTTTTAAACCTAAAAACCACTCAAAACCTCCACCCCCAAACAACTGAAGATTTGTAAGAGTTGATGTGATGCCCAAGGATACCTTTAAACCCAAGTCAGCACACATTCAGTCTCTAAGTATGGATAGTACTGGTCTGCATCCCCTTCAAAGCAAGCAGAGTGGAGTCTGGAAGTCATGCAATCCAAGTATCCTCTGGAGACCAGCCACACAAATACAAAATAACACCACACCCGAGAAGAGCCTCTTTTAAATGCATCTTGGTCTGTGCAATCTTGAATTCACCTACCTGTGAAGAGTTTAGGACTACGTACTTCATCACTGGCCAAAGCATCTGGTTTCAAAACATGCTTATGTAAATCACTCAGGATGTCTACATGACTTGATTTTGTGTTGGAATATACAGCTGGAATTAAAAACAGCTGCAGAAATTTCTGGAACAGAACTGTCTGCATGATACATCAAAACCAAAGAAAATCAACTGAACAACAGTCTTGAAAATGCTTTATTGAACCGTCTGTCTTATTGTAATGTGCAGAAGATGTGTTTGAAAAACTACAGCTTGAAAAATTTTTGAAAATCCTCAACAATCAATCAATAAAAAAAGTCCCTACTGGGGGTAACTCTCAGGATAACCAGAGGCCGCATGTAAAGTTTCCCTTGAAACATTTTCTGTTGCAGAGACTAAAAAAAAAAAAAACCACAAAAAACCCCAACAAAGCTAGTGCTGCTCTACATGGAAACAATCAAGATTTGATGATTTAAAAAAAAAAAAAAGGAGGGAACTTAAAGTTCAGTCTATGGGGTTGTTTCTTTTGCTGCTGTTATTTTGGATTAGCATACACGTCACAGTTTTGCTGAGAACACCACATGGTGTCCAAGTCTGTACAATGCTGCTGAGAAGGGAGGATACAGAGAAAGAGAGAGGGGGTGAGGTGAGAGATCTGGAAAGACACCATTATGATATAAGCCTAGTTTAAATTTTCATCAGAAGCT